AGAGTATGATGAAGCAATTGCAAAGATACATATAATGGCACATGCTATGAGGAACCTCATTTTTGCCTTTTAGATAACTTCCACCGGAATCTTTTTTGACAGATGCTTTTGGTTCTTTCCCAATCAGCCTCCCAGACTTCCCAAATTTCTGGAACCAAATGTGGTCTCCCACACACTAGGCTTAGTACATTGGCATCAAGCTCTGCCTGCTGACGGCGGCGGCAGATTGCACACCACCCTTCTCGAAAGGGTGAAGCACAATACCACCGTCAGCGGCAGGGGCACTCACACAAAACCCAAGCACAGTGTCCACTGCCTGGACAAGCCAGACACGGTATACTTTGCAGACTTCTGTTCTCTAACGGTAATAGCACTGGGTCGTGATGTTCCCAATCTATAGCTATGGGTGTGTTACCCCAGCGCGGTAGGCACCGGTGTAGATGGTAGTCACGCTTGCTGGTTCTCCGAGGAGCGAGTGGCCGATCTTATAGAGTTCCCAGGAATCAGTTCCAAACCACTGATGAATTGGCATGTACACGGCCAAATTTATGGTTCAGAGGATCTGAGTGCTGGTCGGACCCATCGAGCAGGGATCCAGCGATGTCGGGTACCTGTGGAGACACAAGCATAACCCTTCCCCCAAGTTATTAAGGGATATGGTCCTTCCCATTTACCAGATTCTGGTGCTTGGCCATGAACTGCTTCTAGGGCTGGTCGGCCCAAGTGCTTTTCCACCGGCGGCTGGTCGTCTTGCCAGTGATTCAAAAAGTTCAAAACATATAATGCTTTTGCTGTGCGCTCTTGGGGGGTATTGAACCCCTCGCTTCCCCCTTCTTGTTTTAACAACATGTTTTTGAGAGTGCCATGGGCACGCTCAGTAAGTGCCTGGCCGGTGGGACTGTGGAGAATACCTGTGACATGTTCAATGCCCCAGGCACATAAAAAGGTTGCTACCTTTCGGGACATGTACGCCAGCCCATTATCAGTTTTGATGTGGGCTGGTGTCCCCATAAAGGCGAAGGCCTGTGTCCAATGTTGACAGGCATAGTGGGCTTTTTCCCCAGTATGTGGGCTGGCAAAAATGAGGTTAGAGTGAGTATCTAAGGAAACATGAACATACTTCAAGCGACCAAAGGCTGGGAAATGGGTGACATCCGTTTGCCAAAGGTCAAGCGAATGTAGCCCACGAGGGTTCACGTCATACAAAGGGGGCAACAAAAAATTCTGACAGCTAGGGCAGGCCCGAGCAATAGATCGTGCCTGCTCTCGGGACAGATAAAACTGTCGCTGCAAAGCAGCGGCGCTTTGGTGATAAAAATCATGCGAGAGCTGTGCTTTCAGCAAAGTATTTGGCACCAAGACGGGGGCTGTGAGGGCATCGGCGTAACGATTGCCTTCCACAACAGGCCCCGGCAGAGAAGTATGTGCGCGGAGGTGTGTAATAAAATATAAGCTTACCCAAGTGCGTAAAAGGGCGACTAGGGTTTTGCAGAGATCATATAACAGAGCGTTTGAAATGTCGCGCAGTAGCGCGCATTCTGCGCATTGTACTATACCCACTACATACTGAGAATCTGAAACGATATTCAGGGGTTCAGCCGGCCAGCGTGAAAACGCTCTAACAGCAGCTGCCAGCTCCACAACCTGTGTAGAGCCATGCACATAGGATACACCAGAACACCAAGCGTCACCGACTTCCCAAACCAGGACGGTCTGTGAAGACCGTCCTTGCCCCAGGGATGGGGCTATGACTATGAGCCAGGCGGGGTTTTAGGGGCACAAGCTCGAAGAACTGTAGCAAGGCATTTTCTGGCCAGTGAATGGAGATCTGCCCTGTGAATCCTGCAAGGGCATAGACAAAGGCATCACTAAATTGGAATAGATAATTTAGGAGCTCCGTGGTAGCACTGAGATAGATAACTGCAGGCTCAAGGCCCAGGAGCTGTCGGAGGTGAATGTGCGCTCTGCCAATTCTGCCAATTGTTCTGCAAGAGACAATATAGTTCGCTTCCCTGTATGGGGCAAAAATATCCATTCAAGCAGGAGAAGTTTTTGACCCTGCATCTGGCCCAAAAGTGCCCCTTGTCGAGTGTTACCTGAAAAAACATAAAGATTAACTGAATGGTTAGGGTCGTAGCGATCAGCATGTGAATGCTGAACCTTTACAAGGACCGAATGGAGTGCTGCCTGCGCCATAGGAGACAGCTCCCTGGGGGATGCCAAATCGGGATCCCCCTTTAAGAGCTCAAACAAAGGGGAAAGTTCTTCTGTTGAAATTCCAAGGGTAGGCCGTATCCAATTAATAGTCCCTAAAAGTTTTTGCAAGTCATTTAGAGTTCTTACGTCTTGGGAGATTTGGAGGGATGAGGGTGTCACAGTCCGCTTGGCGATTCTCCACCCCAGGTATTGCCATGGCGCTATCCTTTGGACCTTTTCTGTTGCTATCACAAGGTGAAATGCAGTTAGGGCTGTTACTGTTGCAGTCAACACTTTGTCCAGGCGGGCCCCAGTGGAGGCGACAATGAGGATGTCGTCCACATAATGGTCAGAGAAAGACACGCGAATCGGTGACAATGCGCGTGCGACATACCACTGACATATAGTCGGGCTGTTTTTCATCCCCTGGGGTAAGACTGTCCAATGATACCGCTTGTTGGGCTCAGCCATATTTACAGATGGGACAGAAAAGGCAAAACACGGCGCGTCATCAGGGTGAAGCGGAATTGTAAAAGAACAATCTTTTAAATCTATAACAAGAAGTGGCCAATTCTGAGGGATGGCGGTGGGCGAAGGGAGACCCTGTTGTAAGGGGCCTATATCTTCCAAAACAGTGTTCACAGCTCGGAGGTCCTGTAAAAGCCTCCACTTTCCTGACTTTTTCTGAGTAACAAAGACTGGAGTATTCCAAGGGCTGTGGGTTGGGACTACATGTCCTAGCTGTAGTTGTTCAGTTACAAGATTGTTAAGATACTGCAGTTTTTCTGCAGTCATAGGCCACTGATCAACCCAAACAGGTGTAGTCGTGAGCCATGTCATTTTCGGGGCAAGTTGCCCATCGGTGGCTTCTAGGCAAAATTTTGTAGCCGCATGCTCCATTGGGATAGTGTGTCTCGTCCCCACAGCGTTACCGGAATTGGGAGGATCAGGGGCTTAAGTGTTGCCGCTCGGTTTTCAGGACCTACAACCAATATCAAAGATTTACTCTGGTAAGGGCTGATAGGGCCGCCCACCCCGGTTACCGAGGTGTGGGTCGGTTCTGAATCCCAATGCAAAGGCCAATCCTGAACTGCAACGATGGTAACATCTGCGCCTGTATTTATCAGACCCGTGGTAGTCACCTCCTGAGTAGCAGAATTGCAGACTGTACAACTGAGCATCGGCCTTTTTGTCTTAATGTCTTCAGCCCAGTAAATCATGGGGGCTCCAGTGGAGCCAAAACCCTTTTCTAATCTTTGGGAATCAGTTAAAGTTTTTCGACTTTCATCTCGCATCGCACAGAATGGAGTAAGCTGGGCAATGTGAGATCCTGCCGGTATAAAACACGGGGGCTGGGGGGTCCACACCATGATTTTTATTTCCCCCGTATAGTCTGCATCAATGACCCCCGGTAGCCCAAAGAGACCCATGAGGGTGATGGAGGAGCGCCCCAAAAGTAAGGCATGCCCCTCTGGCAAGGGCCCCTGCACCCCAGTGGGTATAGCTACCGGCTTTGAATCCACTGAGTGTGTGGGTTGGGAGGTGTCCAAGTCCAGCCCGGCACTGCCTCGGGTGGCTGCTCTGAGCTGGCAGCCGCCGCCCCTGCCCTGGGGAACATTTGATATCTTCGCGCCCTTCCCCTTGGCGCTTCGATATCGGTTTCCCGCCCCCCAGGACTCAGGTGGAAATTTTCCCTCCTTATCGTATCGTGACCTGCAGTGGTTGGCATAATGCTTGCCTTTTCCACACCTTGGGCATACTGGGGGCCCTTCGGGCAATCCCGTTCCAGGTGGCCCATTTGGCCACAAGAAAAACAGGCTCCCCCTGCCCGACAAGCGGCAAAAGCCTGCGTCAGAGCTTGCATTTGCCATGTTTGGGTTCCCACTACATTACAAGCCTCCACCATCTGGGGAATAGATGCATCAGGGTTGGCTGCCAGCAGCGACTCAAGAACCTTTTAGCAATCAATATTAGCATTGGCTACTGCGAGGTCTTTTAAAAATATCTGGCGGGCCTCAGGGTGTTCGACCTGCCGTTCTAACGCATCGTGCAGCCAATCGATAAACCTCATATATGGTTCGGCAGCTTCTTGCTTTATAGTGGTGAAAGACTTTAAGCCACCCCCATGACCCTCAGGAAGGCTAAATATGGCCTTCATAGCTTCGTTTTGCCCCTGAATCAAAGCCTCTAACAATTCGCAACTGCACATTGTGTTCACGAAAGGGCCCCTCGCCCAACAGGGCATCTGGCCCGATACTGTACAAGGGATCCCCCTGCTGCCGCCCCACATTTTCCATGGCAACACGCTCACAGTTATCCCTCCAGGCCTGCTTCCACATCATGTGCTGGGTCGGGGTCAGTATTATTTGTGCCAAAGTACGGCAATCATTAGGTAACATCAAAGTAGTGTTAAAAACCGATTGAATGAGACCCTTTGTATGTGGTGTGTGGAGCCCAGACTCCTTGACAGCACGCCGAATTTCCTTAATCAGACCCCACTGAAACCCTTCCCATTCTGCCGCCCCACTCTTTTAATTGCCTTCTGCGGGTCCTCCTGTCCATGATCATTCTTAATTGTCTACTGTAGCTTCCCCTTCCCATGGTCTCTGCCAGTTTCGATACGTTCCAACCCCCACACCTACACTAGAAGAACTTGACAAGAAAACTATCTGTTCTGGTTTCATTAGATCTGAACCAGAAAATACAGATGGCTTTCCCTCCCCCACATAACTGCCTCAGCATCAGTACCCCCATGGCAGTGTCAGTGCTGCTGTCTCTAACCCATGTCATCTTACCTCCAACAGGTTGGTGGGACGAAGACAGGAGTTGTGCGCTATGTGGGAGAGACAGACTTTGCCAAAGGAGAGTGGTGTGGAGTGGAGCTGGATGAACCCCTGGGCAAGAACGACGGGGCGGTTGCTGGTACAAGGTACTGTGTGTGCTCTCAAACCCAGCCTGGAGCTGTAGGGTTCCACACACCTCCCAGGGTGATGGTGGCCAAATGTCCCTCAGACCTGTTAAGAGCAGTTATGTTTGGTTGAAGACTGTGGGTTGTAAGGAAGAGTTGAATTTTCAGTCTTTCAAGCTTTGGAATAGCTTTGCAGGATCAGTGGAAACCTCATCACCGGAGCATTTTAAAGCAGGATCAAATAGCATCTGTGAAGTAACCTGAGTGTCTTCAGGGAACAGGAGAGAGTAGGGAGAGAAGGTAACTTGTGGTGGGATGCAGGTTTTGCTGGAATTGATTCTGTGACTGCATTAGCTCTGCTTTCTACACACATTCCCTTTATAAAATTTCTTCTTGCACTGTATCTGTAATTTACCCTGTCAGAGCTATAGAAGATAAAGACTTGACTCTCTCTTTATTCCTCAGCTTAATGATATTTCTTCCATTCTTTCTGGGGACAGGTTTCCAGAGATCCAAAGGAACAGCTGGTGGTTGTTGCATGTCCTTGTGGCAGTTCTGTAGTGTGGCAGCTGTCTGCTGGCTGATCTGACCACCTCTGACTCCACTGGCATCTCCACTATTTTCTTTTCCAATAAAGTCCTTGTTGGTATCTATAAAACTAGACAGGGACATCTCACAGCCTTGCTGGGAAGCTGTTTCTGTTCATTTGGAAGCTTGGTAAAAGAATGGCCCCCAGCATCCTTAAGCTTGGGAATGTTCAAATCCAAGTTTTATACAGCACCACTTTGACCCTGCCTCAAATAGAGGTAGAAATGGTTCTGTGTCCTTCAGAAGTTCCTTTAGTGGGAAATATTGTTGTTTTCTTGAGACTTCTTAAGGGAATCCTGCATTAGAGGTGAGATTTAACTTTGAAACCAAGGAGCAGATAGCTCCTCCCTTATTGGATCTCAGGTTCTATATAAGGGTCTGTTGTGTTGGGCCAGGCTTTTCTTTTTTCCAGCAGCCATGTGGTTTGATTTAAAATGAAAGAAATGCTGCCCTGTTCAATGTCAGGCCAAGAAAGCAGGAAATGATTGGCAGCAGATGGCTGAGTTCCAGCCTATTCTCAGAAGAAAAGAACTGGGATGGTGGAGAGCAAGTCATGGAGTGAATCCAAGTCTCTTTCTTTATCATACACTACAAATGATCTCTAAGCTTAATCTTCAGGGTGCTCAGAAGTGATTTATTATTTCTGTGCATGTGGAAGGTGTGGAAGGCAGATGTTGAATGTAAGGGTGCTCTCTCTGCCTCTCATCCTCACACCTCTGTTGCTCTGGTTTGCAAATCCAACCTCTGGAAGTCATCTGTCTTATGAAGCTGCTACGTCTTGTCTAAGGTTGTTACAGTATGTGCCCTGTCTGCAAGGCTTCTCCTTTCTTTTACACTTTATCAAGAGCAGGAAAAATTGAGCTCCACAGCAGGGATCAGGGAGCAGGTGTGAATTAGGAGGTTTGAATTAAACATGGGAGATTGAGGGAAATCTAACTTTGCAGATCTTCGAGCAATAATGGATACTATCAGTACAGCAGTGGTATGCGTGGACTCTCCAGCTGAAGGGTGCTCTGCTCACCAAGGATCTGGCTGCAGGTTTGCAGCATTGTCCCTGCTTGTCCTTTGATCCTTCATCCAACCTTCTGATTTTCTTACAGCACATCCCAATTTCAACAGCAGTGTTTTGGAGGAGAAGCCAACATAGTAAAAGTGACTCCTTTGTTACATGCAGGAACCCCTCAGTCAGTCTTCCCTTATCTCTGCCACAGGATTCCTGATGCTACCCTGAGCTTGTCCTGCCAGAATCAGCCTGGGCAGAGACCATCCAGTTCTCTGGAGTCTCTCTGCTTTGGTGACTGTTGCCATCTAGTGAGCATCCTTGGCCAGGTCACCTGCTGCTGCAGAAGCGGTCTGCCGCAGGAGAGTTGAGTCCAGAGAGCTGGTTCTGAGGCAGTGGAGGCTGCTCTCCTGCCTGCACTGGAGATTAGAGAGGTGCTGGTGTGGATTTTTGGATTCTCGCCCACAAAACCAAGCAAGTTCCTCTTGTTCATCTCTAGTACATTAACTTTTACCTGCTTATTCTACTGTTCTTCCTTCTCTGCCTCTGCTCCTATGGGAGCCTGTGCCCGCTAAACTGCTCATACCTTTGCTTTCACATAGTCTGAAACAGGTCAGCCTTGGACACTGAAGGTGTCTTTTATCTATTACAAAACTTTTTGTGCTGTTTCCCACCTGCAGTTTCTGTTGGCATCACACCACCACTTTTCTTCCCTGTTCCTTTTCTGCAATGTGAGTATAAAGCTCCTTAGCACTCAGAGCAGCTCTTGGTTTTCAGGCAGGCACTGCCAGGTGTTCTGGATCTAATTCTTGCTTCTGAACTAGAAACGTTAACTGCAACCACTTCCAGTCTGGACACAACGATGCAAGTTTGGACTTGTTCAGAGCTGTCAGAGGACCTATGAAGGACTTAGCCTTTGGCACTGTTGTACAGCCACAAGTAGCAGCCTGTGTTGAGAATAGAGAGACCTGTGGAAGGGACTGCACCATGCTGTTGGTCTGCCTGTGTCTGCTGCAGTTTGAGGTCATGATGCTGAGCAGGGCTTTGGTTGGGTTTGCAAGAGATCATGCTGATTTTCTTCCTTGGGTCCCTGCTCTGCAGCTAGGTCAGCCTGTGGTATGGCTGGTTTTTCATCCCCAAGGGCCTGTGCTGGCAGCAGGCACAGGGGAAGAAGCGATTTTTGGATTGTAGGTTTTGCTATTTTCATAAAGATTGTTATAGGAAGAATTTGGCTTGAGCAGATGTTTGCAAATGAATCGCTTTCTCATCCGGCTGGAAATCAGGCTGCTCTCTGGCCTCCCAGGCCCACAGAGGTCTGCCTGTGACACAGCCATGTGGCTGCCAGCACTTCAGAATAAAAGGGAATTGGGGAAACAGCTGTTCACATCTGGAGAGGACTTGCATTAGCAAAGCTGGGTTTGTCACTCATTAGGACCTGGGTTTTATGTTAACACAGGACACACTATAGCCCAGTATTATTCCTAGGCTACCTATGAAGCTGGTGAGAAAGCATTCCTAAAGGAGACAGGTTTCTGTGTTGGCTACTCCCTTGAAAGAAGGGGATGTCAGGCCTGGAGGTGATCTGGTTTTATTTACTGCAGTGCAGCTGGCCCAGCAACAAATGAACCTTGGTTTGAGCCAGTCAGTCCAAGCTCTGAAGGGGTTTCCAATGTTTGACACTGTGGGTTTTGGCTAATTTGTTTTCTAAAATAGGGCTCTGGAGAGACATAACCACTGGGCTCACTGCAATTGTGGAACAGCTTGCACTGTAATTATCTGATCCTCCCTTTTGGATGCTTTCTCTAAGTTTGCTTGCATAGGAACCAGGTCCTCTCTCTACTACCCAGAGGAAATGGCGCACATTGGAGATTGCTGTAATGGTATCTTTAGATTTCAAAGTTAAGAGCTGCCCTTTTCTGTTCTGGGAGGAAAGATTTTTACCCTGTAGAACACTCACACAGAGCTGTGTGATTCAGAGCTCTCTGATATTGTTGCCTTCGTTGGCGTGGTGACCTGGTTCAGGAACAGCACGGCGACCAATCCCAGGCCACTCGGGCCATCAGCTCACGGACACCAATGTGGTGGATGGCAAATTTCGTTTATTGGCGAGTAACATGGTGTTATAGAGCCTGGGTTTACAACGTCACTTCCGTCTGCTTAGGACCTAGGCTAGGCCCTATTGGCTACTCGGAGGGGGGTCTTATCTTTCCGCACAGCGTGACATCTTCCGATCGCCAGACCCTAACTACCTACATGATATGTTTTACTGTGTGACTTTCTGCAAAACAGAGTAGAGAACACACTCAGGTTTTGTGTGGAAGGTGAGTGCACGTGCTGTCACTGTGTTTGTGTACTGGGATCTTTGTATTCAGACTAACAGACGGGTCTTTCCTTGCGCCTCATCAAAGTGCACAGCAACTAGTGCATGGCAGTTATGTTGGGTTTCTCTGCTTAAGCACCACAAGTGAAAACACAGAGATAGCTACTACTCTAAGTGGCAGGAAAAGAGAATAATCCAACCACTTGCACACAGGAAGCAGTATCACAGCAAAACCAAGAGATTAGCTGAGGACTGAGGTTATATGTTGCTTAGTAATGTTGCATAGTAATGCTGTTCTGTAAGGCTTGAGTGAGTTGGATGCTTGACCACTTCTGACTTGGTGCATTTCCTGTATTACAGGTATTTTCAGTGTCCTCCCAAGTTTGGCCTCTTTGCTCCCATCCACAAGGTGATCCGGATCGGTTTCCCATCAACCAGCCCTGCCAAGGCAAAGAAGAGCCAACGAATGGCCATGGGAGTGTCTGCCTTAACCCACAGCCCCAGCAGCTCCTCCATCAGCTCTGTCAGCTCCGTGGCATCATCTGTTGGTGGCAGGCCCAGCCGCAGCGGGCTGGTAAGTGGCTCTTTCTGCAGACCATACAGCCTCGATCCACTTCTTCTGTGACCCAGCTCTACAAAGTAGGAAGCTTGGGGTTCTGTTTCAGCAGCTGCAGTGGGGCAGCTGCTCTTTTACCAGCAATGAGATGGAGAGTGGAGTGTGGGGTACTGTTGCCCACCTTACAAATAGGACTCCCTTCATGGACACAAGTTGTAACAGACACAGAGCAAGTGGGATCATTGCAAATAGCAGTTCAGGCTCTGTGATGGGAGGAATCTCAGCTCCACTGTCAAGGCAGGTTTTGTATAAGATCCCTGCAGACAAATGCCCTTGCTTCTTGTCCAACATGGTTGTGTAGCAGTGTATTGCTGTATCAAACAGCTGTGCAAAGGCTCCTGCAACGGCTGTGTCTTGCTCTGGAAGGGTGACACTGTCTTGGATCACATGCCTTGTAGTTTGGCAAGTACTCAAGCAGGCAAACACCAGAGTAGGAAGCAGTATTAAGAGCTGACTGCGGTAGTGTGTGCTGCATAGCACCTGCAGTCATTTTGGCTGGGGACAAGGGTGCAGTATCTGTTACTGTGAGTGGATCTGAGTAGCACACAGCAGTCTACAGCTGAGAGCAGTCTATGCAGCTGAACTCGCTGTTTGAGACTGCACCAGTGCAGGTCATCAATCAAATATACTTAAGAAGGCAGATGATCCAATAATACCTTTTCCTGATGCACTTCCACCCCATGTCCTGCCCTCTTCTTCAGTGCAGAAGAGCTACTGAGCTTGTAAGCAATGCCCAGATGTTTTGCAGACATAACCTGACCTGTAGGGTCCAGAGCTGGAACTGCAGCTTTGTACAGTGTAATAAAGGATCTGTAGGTGAGCTACATTCCAGATTTAACAGGAGCCTCAAGCTATTTCAGCCTGAGAAGGACATAGGTTTACCCCTGTCTCTTTTTAACTTGTTTTCCAGCTGACAGAGACCTCTTCTCGATATGCCCGAAAAATCTCTGGCACCACAGCTCTCCAGGAGGCACTGAAGGAGAAGCAGCAGCACATTGAACAGCTCCTGGCAGAGCGTGACCTGGAGCGGGCTGAGGTTGCCAAAGCCACCAGCCACATCTGCGAGGTGGAGAAAGAGATTGCCATCATGAAGGCCCAACACGAGCAGGTAGGGGGTGATACGCTTTATCACTAGCACTCAAATATCTGGCATCCTCTGAAAGTTTTAGGTAGCATTATGGCTGTATAGCTTCCTGATATGAAACCTGGGCTTTGAATTTCTGCTTCTTAAGTGGTGACAGCTTCCTGCGTGGTGGATTGAGCTGAGGCTTATTCTGTGCTCCTGCCAGCATCGCATGGGCTCTGTCTGCCCAAGCCAGGAGCAGAAAAGGGCTGTGCCAGAAGAAAGACAGCAGATATTGATCCACCAGACACAAACTACATTTGAATTCTGAAATGCAAGTAGAGGGCAAACTTGTTGCCCTTAGTCACCCAATCTGGCTGTGGCTGTGACTGCATTGCAGTGTTCCCTTGACGTTATCAAACACTGCTGAGAGCATCAGCTCAGTTATATGCCACTGCTTTCCTACCGGAGAGGAGGTCTTTATCACATTAATAAAGTCAAAAGACCTATAAGGAAAATGGGCTGATCATGTGAAGGGGTTTTTGCACAAACGTTTGTACAAATGATACTTTATGCACTTAAACGCTTAGAGGAGCTGTATTTGTTCTATTTGTCAAGATGTGGCTATTCAATGATTGCTGTCATGCCTCCCTGTCAGAAATGCAGGAGAGACTGGCAAATCAACCTCAACTGACATCATCTTCATGTCTAATATTTTCCAGTAGTGAGCAATAACAAATGAACTAATACAACCCTGAAATGTCTCTCTTGCTTCATGACAAGGGCTGAATTGCACTGGTAACCTCAGGATGGATTTTTCACAACTATTGAGTCTTCAAGCTCTTGACTCTTAATTTAGAGCTGGATTCTCCAAAGGGTTCAAGTCAGAGAGGCACTGATGCATGGATCAAATTTACAGCTGCTGAAGATTGCTCAATTTTTTCCATTTTGATCCCTACATAATGGGCTCTTTGAAAAATCTGCCTTCCTACCATAGCATCCTCTGAAACAGATCAGCAAAACCTTCTCTTCTCTTGTTCTGACCCTTTCTTAACCAACTCTGTGCTTAAAATTTGTAACTTATCTCTCGGGCTCTCTTTTTGCTGCAGTACGTCACGGAGGCAGAAGGAAACCTCCAGCGAGCACGAACTCTGGTGGGTGTGATACAGAAGGAGAAGATTGAACTGTTGAACCAGCTGGAAGAGGAGAAGAGGTAAAACAGGAGTGAATGGGTATGAAGTCATGGGGGAGACTCCTGCCCCAAAGCATCATTCACTGGATCTAAGGAGAAGAAAGTGACTGGGACAGTCATCTTTGGATGTCTTTCAGTACTTCAGATACGTTTTTTCACCCTCCCTGGCCACTGTGGTCTACACTGTGTGTGGGGAAGGGTTGTACTGCGTCAGATAGTGGGAGGTTTAGAACGGTTTTGCTGCAGTTGCACATCTGATGTGAATCTTGTGTAGGATTGTGCTTCCAGTACTGTGGCTGCCCCCATTTTCTGACGAACTGCTGCTAATGACAACCAAACAGTGAAGTATTTCCCATTAGTCTTGTACAGCCCTATGTCGTATAGCTCTTAGAGAAAACTCAATGCTGTATTATCTCGTGGGGTTGGAGTGAGCTAACTTTTTTGTGTCTCAGGTTGCTTGGATATGATCAGCTAAACCTAATACCCCACTATTACAAAGCAATTTAAAGGCAGAAAGCAAACAGCCAGGGCAGCTCATACTTGGGTATGAGTTTCATGATTTAACATGGTTTCCTGCCAAATGCATGGAGAAGCAGCACTATTTGCCTGAAGGAACGAAGGGCTCTGGTAGTATCAGTTACTCTGAGATTTAAAACCGTGACCAAACTCGGCCATGTCACTGTGAAATGGAATTGCTCACTACAGGTGGGATTAATTAATGGCAAGGCTTTGGACAGTGACAAAGCCTTGGCTAAGGATACAGCATAAGATAACAGTACTGGATAATAAAGAGAACTGTGCAGTTCGGGCTGTCCCAGACCCCTAACCTTTCTGTACAATCTGGCTTTACTAAGGACCACTTCTTTCCCCTCCATTTGGGATATGCAGATCTTAAGGACATTCCTTCTGAGGAAGGGAAGTCAAATTGGAATACAGACTTACTGTAGTGTGATTGATCATCTCCCCACATCCCAGAGGCCCCATCCCTATATACATGAAGATGCATACATTTTCTGTCTGGGTAAGAGTAAAGATCTGCTTGTCATTCTTGCAGTCCAATTGCTGTCTATATATAATTAAACTCTTCAGTGGGAACAGAAATACATTTCTGTGTATTAAGTAACTGAAACCAGTGTTGAGTTCAATTGAATAATGCTCCTCCTGAGGATCTATTGTTCTTCTGTGCATAAGTCTTCATGTTCTCTTGGTAGGTAGCTCACTTTCCCAGCTCCAGGAGGCCCTTTAACCCAAGACAGCTGACTCCTTTCCTAAATATCAACAGATGCCTCCTCTAATTACAGGAGGTTTACACAAGGAAGCTTGTTTATGAAGTTAGATATGTACTCTCACAGTAATTTTCATCTGTAATGGGATATGATTCCTTACATCTGGCTACCAGCTCAACATCCTTATTATTGCCTACTTTTTAATCAGTGAAGAGAACAAAGAGGGCTGAGGTTAGAAGAAAACTGAATTATTTTGTATCATTACTGGACTTTCTCTTCAGACTTTACAAGAGAGTCTTAGTCATGTCTCTGTGTGTTCATGTAGGTTTATGTGTGTTTAGTCATGACTGGCCTGTACAAGCTCTGGTGAAGGCTTTTCTGCCAGGGCAGCTCCCCATTTCCATGCTTTGGAAATGTTACGTATTGCCCACCCTCTACCAAGGAGGCAGAGGCTGATTCCCTTGGAATAATTTGTATGGACCTGTGCAATTGGCACAGGAATGGGTCAGTGCTTGGCTGCAGGATAACAATGTCCGTGTAAACCAGTGAAACCTGGTTGTGGTTTTCATGTTTTCAGGATCGTAGTGTCAGTGAATAGCAGTTGTGCCTGCTGAGAGGGGGTGCAGCAGAAGCAGCACATCTGTGAGTGTGTACCTTACAAGGCAAATGTTTGCTATGTGGAAAACTTATTACTGTTTAGCTCCATGGGTCTTGCTGTTTAGCTGCTGCTAAGCTGTTTGTGTACAAAGATTGTCTATATCCCTCTTCTCTCAGGCTTCTGATGTGTAGGGGAGGCCCATGTGCAGTGGCTGCTTAGAAAGAGGTTGCTGATCTAGGTGTTACTGATTTCTCTTTTGTGTTCTCTCCCCTCCTCAGGAAAGTGGAGGACCTGCAGTTCCGTGTGGAAGAAGAATCCATTACAAAGGGGGATCTGGAGGTAATTCCTAACACCTTGACACCCCTTGAATGTGGGGTCAGAACCTCAAATTGTACGTGGGGACTCGCTTGATTGACTTCTGCCACCTTTTGCTAACTCCAAAGAGTATTTTATCTTTACTGATGGCTTTGGATGTGCTGTGAAAACCGTGGTATAAACTGTGAAGATTGTTCTTTGGTATGTTGCCAATGACTAATAATGCTACAAGCTGCCTAGAATTAATCACGTGCAGCCAACTTGGCTTTAAGTGTCACCAGGAGTTGCCAAGCCATGTTAATTCTGACTGTATCTGAATGCATTTCAACATACGTTTTTCCACTGTAGAAATGAACTGACTGCTTAGTCACTGTCCCTGTCAGATGTTATTCTATTCCAGCTGAAGTGCTGTGTATGATTTGACCTGTGGTATCCCTGTGTGGAGTCCTCTGCCCATAAGTGTGAGGTTTGACACTAGGATACCCATTCATTTGAAGGGTATGCTTGGAGTGATGCTGTGGCAGTGAACATTGTGCAATCTGGAAGTGATGTTGGGAGTTTGCCCTTGAGTAGGAGGCTTTACTGTGGGGGAGAAATGGAAAAGATACTTCTGTGAAAGCAAGGCTTTGCTCTGTACGTGCAAATCAAAGGACTTTAGCTAGAGTGCTAGGTTAGTAACAGCCAGAAATGTCGGGGGACCTGTTCCTGTGCTTCTCCATAGGGCATATCAGTAAAAGCCCAGGAAAATGGGAAAACTAGGCAATGGAATATGTTGCTATGGCTTTGACCGTTGTGGCATAAGCCTCTCCTCTTTATCTAAAAGCAGAATAATGTGTTTGGCAAGGTATAAATAAGCAGTGTACTGATAGCATACCTTTGTTAGTGTGCTATCAGGTTTCTGTGATTCCTGAGCTTAGATGATAGGTCTCCCCCAGTGCTTTGGGGAAGGCTGGTTTATCCATCCATCCATCCATCAGTCCCTTTGAGAGCAGCGAACTGGCCCTGTTTAAGGTTAAAGTGCTTAGGCCTGGCTGTATAATAATGGCAGTGGGACCAGGGCTGGCTGTGTATTTAAATACACCATGTTTCAGCAAGATGGTAAGTTGCTGTGACATTAATGCTCCTATGCCTGCAGGTCCTAAACTGAGGGAAGATCTGATTGTCATTTGGGCTGCAAAGGAGCCGCTTTCCAAATAGGGATGTGGCCAAGCTTCTTGCAGGCTGTGAGGGTCCTTGTCGGAGGAGCGACCCGAGTCAAGAAGACAATCTCAATATGAGTTACGCTTCTTGTTCGCTTTATTGCACAGGCTCACCTAATTTATACCACTGGTGATAGTTTACGTGACAGCTGTACATCTTTCATTGGCTACATAAACCTGTCCACGCGCCTGTCTATACATTGCTATTGGCTAAGCTAAGTTTTACACACATATCTCTGCAACAGCAGGGTGCATGGTGCATTCCTTGTGGCCAGCAAGCTCCTGTTTCAGCGTTCTGCTTACATTTCTTCGACTCCAGCCCTCCCTGGCTCAGCTGAGTCAGAGAGAGTTCAAGGCTGTCTCACTCAGCTCTAATCCTGGGTTATGCAGGCCCTCGTGAGAATAACCATTGCTCCAGAGGTCCTGTCTTCACCTCTATGTTCATCTATATAGAGGAACAAACAACTTCTTAAGAAAGTGTCATGGAGCAGTTTGGTTTCCTGTGATGCAGAGAGCTGGGGTGTTCCCAGTGAGTCCAGCACCAGTGACAGCACAGGCATCAGCAGAAGGTTTGGCTGTGGTCAGTTTTTACATCCTATCCTGTCTAATTTGGGTGCTCGGAGTGAATGATTTGACTCACTGGAGATAATTCCCACCTTCCTGCCTTGTTGTGGAGCCAGTTAGGATTTTCAGAAACAAGTAATACACTTAAATAAAACTCTCATTGGAAATCAGGGGGGATAAGTGCTCCTTCGTGTTGCAGGGCATTTCCTGGAAATGGTTGTTCCTGGTACTCTTCATGTAAAATCACAACAAAGTCAAGCAGTGGCTGCTAGCAGAGCCCTTTGCATCCCTAGCTGGACCTAAGCAAACCACTCAAATGCTAAAAGCAAAACCCAGAGACAGTTGTCTGCCCTCCTCTGGTCTTGAAGGCTAAATCCCATGGTATTTCTTGCAATAGCATGTAGGTTTTGAACAAATCTGGGACTTCCAGGTGCTGAGCATGGGAGCCAGAATCCCTAGAAGCTCTTTGACCAAAGAAATCAGCATCTGAGGCCTAGAGATATGGATCAAGTCTTTGAACATCTGATAAAGAAAGAGCTGTGGATTTAGCCTTGGAATGAATTAAACCCATTTTTGGTCCTGCTTTAAGGTATAGTGGTTTGGAAGGTTTAAAGCAGCTGCAGGAAAACACAACCTTTTAAGAAAGGCTTTTTAGGGTGAAACACCGTGATTTATAGGAAATATTAACCTCATCAAGAAACCACCTCGTGCTCATCTCCTGTAACCTGCATCATGCCTTTAACAGCAGTGGGAAGTCAGATTGTAGTCTGTCAATAGTAATTCAAGGCTAATAGCTGGAAGTCTAAAATCCAGATCTGAACTTCTTCAGATATGGAAGAATGTTGAATTGAAGCTCTGAGTCATGCTGGCACGGCAAAGCAGTTTGCATAAAATAAGAAAGAATACAAGGCTTGATGCAAATCTAAAAGGAAGGGATTGTAATACAGTTGGTATTTCTTCCCTGTTTATTTTTCTCCTTTATTTTCATGCATTTTTCCATTGGAAAATAGCAGGATTGATAGGTACTGAGCAAGAATATCAGGTGGAACTGAGACAGCTTTGCTGGGAACTTGAGTGTTACCCTCAGGAGTCTTGAGACTGTCTCTTTGGGAGATGCGGAGATTAGTTTTATAGCAGTTCAGCATCTTCAGGTAGCCAGTATCTGACATGCTGCCACCAGTTGATGTAATCTCAGATCTGTGTTGCTGAAGTTTCACTTGGGGATTTTGAGCTACTGTAAACTGAAGAAAATCCATTGTTAGTAATGGAATAAATATCACTAAGTAAAAGCAAACCTGCTTTTTTTATATTGCAAAATTTCCATTCTGAAATACGGATCTTTGAGCATTACAGGGAGCCGGAGAAGCCTCTCAGTACATAATCAGATTTCTTTTTAGGATGCATTCAGTCAACTTTTACACTTAGGTGATATTATTTGGGGCTTTTGATAATGTTGGGTTCATCCTTCAGGAATCAAATAGATCACATAAAATAAAGTAGTCTGAATATGTCTGGCAGTTGATTGTGACCATCATCATGTATCATATATAATGATACCTTTCAAGCTGAAAGAGAAAACGTGTATTTTTATAAACTTCAGTTTCCATCATTTTTACACAACTATCCTGAACTTACTTTGTTGTAGGAAAGGACAGAAAGTCCTTAAAAGTGGTTCCAATAAAACGAGGTGAAGCAAATAATTATATGGAAAATGAAGGGCAGAAAACGGAGGGGGGGAGTGGTTCTACTCAGGTTTGTTTGCTTTTTGGTAGGTCTGATTTAATTCAAAGGAATATATTGGGTTTGTAAGCTAAAAAACTGTGAAGGCCGGAGTCTGCATGCATTTTCCCATGTCTCCTTTCCTCTTTTATTTATGGGAAATTTTACATGATATTGCAGTGGTCATTGTGGAGTCCTGAGGTTTGCCATCAAGTGCAGTTATATGGTACTTCTGCTTTAACAGAAAAGCACTGAAGCAATACCCTGAGTCAGCGCTCCTGGATCTGGGCAGGTTATATAAAGCTCTTGTGCTTGGATCAACCAAAAAAGCAAAACCAAAACAATGGGTCAGCTTTTGTGTACACAAGGCTGAGTTTGAGTGCCAAACTCACATTTAAATTCATAGCAGTTCTTTTCAAACCTAAAGCATTGATATGTAACGGTTTGGTATCCAAATTTCGGATTTGCTTTCAGTGCAGTGTATTTTGGGTCTTAACGACATACTAAGTGCAGTATGACCTGACTCTTTTTTAGTGCATGGTTCAAGCTGTCTCAGGAGCAAAAAGAGGATGGGAGCTTCCAGCTCTTCACCGTACCTTGTGATTCTTCTTGAGGAGAGATGTGGAGAACCATTGCAAGGTCTTTGCATTCTCTGATGTGGTGCAAGGGTCTTGTAGTGGTGGCCTGCAGTGGTGGGACTTTTGCTTTTTAGGAGGTGTCTTCAGTTTAGTCTTGATGCAGGAAAACACCGAAGCAGAGTTTCTAATACGGAGGGATGGTTTCCCATCATAGGTTCAATTTTCTTGCAAATAGCCACTACGAGTACCATGTAAAATCCTGTAGTGACCATTTTCTGTTTGGATTTTTCCTGCTTATTTGGATCTTTATTCTCCTTCTGTTGTGAACTGCCTTTCCTTGTCTTGTACACTGAAGATGATGTTGCAGCCTTCTCTTTCCCTCTCTTTCTCTCTCTCCCCTGCCCTTTTCCCATTTCCACTGTTCTTTTCTCCTTCTGTATGACCAGACTCAGACGCAGTTGGAGCATGCCCGAATACGGGAGCTCGAGCAGAGCCTGCTGTTTGAGAAGGCACAGGCTGAGAAACTCCTCAGAGAATTAGAGGACACCAGGGTAATCGACCCCCACTTGCCCTGCCTGCAGAACAGCGTGCTTGGCCCCTGCGTTGATGCTCATGATGCCTTGCTTTGGGTTCCTTTCCTTTGGGTGGTGTGGGGTTCATTGATTTTTGGCTTGGATTTAAGCTTCCCTGATTCTTTTGTTTGGGTTTTTATTTGCTCTCTCTCCTGGAAATAGTAGTACAATATAATTTCTAGCTTTTGCTTCTTATGTGGGGACTCGTTTCTCAGATTGAGTTTGCTTCTCTGCCCCATGCCACCATTTGACACATGAGCTCTTCACAATTCATTTCTCAATTAACATGCCCGAATAATATCTGCACCCTGCACAATTCATTCTGCCTCAAGACTGCCCCAGGCTGTAACAGGAAATAACGTTGCAATCAGCATTCCCTTTGTCCCCTCTCCAGTTGTGCAAGCTGCCATCTGAAATGGAAGATACTGGTAAGTGCAGGTGGACCAGCCCTGATCCTTGGCCATGCCTGCAACAGGACAGGCTGCCCAGATGAACAGCACACCTGATCCTAAAAGCAGCCACATGTGGAAAGGGCTTTATCATGCTGGTTGTCGTGGTTTAACCCCAGCCAAGACAGCCTGTCCACTCGCTCCCCCCCCCCTTCCTGCCCTCCCCTATTCTCGGAGGGACGGAGAGGAGAATCAGAAAGAATGCAACTCCCACAGGTTGAGATAAGAACAGTTTAGTAACTAAGGTATAACACAAATCACTACTGCTACCGCCAATAATAGTAATGATAAAGGAAATAACAAGGGAAGAGAATACAACACCTCATCACCAGGCGACCGATAACTCACCCCCCCCAGCCCGACCAAGCACCGACCGATACCTCCTCCAACCCTGCAGTCCACCCTAGCCCTTCTGGGTAACTCTCCAGTTACATCCCGGGCATGACGTGCTGTGGTATGGAATACTTCTTTGGTCAGTTTGGGTCAGGTGTCCTGTCTCGGCTTCCCTCCTCCCTGGCAGAGCATGAGGCTCACAAAGGCCTTGGCCAAACCAAAACATCATTTTTATCAGCTCTGTTCCCAGCCTGAAAGCCAAAACACAGCACTGCACCAGCTACCAAGAATGAGAAAAAAATGACTGCTGCTGCTACACCCAGGACACTGGTGTGGTCTGGGAAGCAGCAAACTTGTTACAGTGAGCTTGATTCTCAGCAGTAGATTTTAGAGCTGTGGAAAATGCAAACATGAGGTCCTCCAGAAGGGCTAAATGGTTTGAATCCCCCTGTGCCCATCTAAAATAAAACCCCCACAGCCTCCTGGGCTGATGGTTAGTGGGGGGAAATGGCAGTTGAAGTGAAACGGAATTGATTACTTGTGTTTTAACTTGGTTTCCTTGTTTTTTCTGCTGCCTTCTGATATTTCATCTGATCAAATCTCTCCTTCTCCATCCATAGCTGCAGCACCCTGAACTCCCTGTGACAAACAGGTAGTTCAGCCCTGTTAGGCTACATTCAGACTGTAAGCCATCAATCCATAGCCCTTATGCTCAGTGTTAACCATCGCCAGATTTATTGTCTTGCATTCTCTAGCCTTCTACATTATTTTTTTCTTTGCTAATGAACTCTAACAAGTACTCTTGTCTAAAAAAAACCTTTTCCTTTTACACCAGGGTAAACAAATTATGATGCAGAAGAGACATCTTAGGTTGAGGATTGCTGAGCAATAAAGGAAATGTGATACGCTTAATGTTGGGTTTGATGCTTGTGATATTCCTGCATGTGCAGTCACATCTCCTCTGTGCATCATCTGTCAAGATGCCCTTTCAGGACATTGTTTTTCATAAAGCACTGCTGCTCTCTAGTGAATTCCAAGGGTTGTTTCCAAAATGTGTGTTTTTCTGTGGAAAACAAGAGCTCATATTAGAAAAAAAGACAAACTGCAATTGGCACAAAGGGATAACTGAGTTATCGGAGATGGTTACCCTGGTGCAAAACTCAGGCTGGAGGGTGCTGGGTAGTCTTTTCCTCTGTATCTGAATTTTGACTAATGTACTTTGGATTTACTTCCACTGGAGCACACTTACTGAAAGGAAGGATGCATCAATGGAAGGTGAGGACTGACTGTGTCTTCTCTATCATGTTGCAGTTAACCACGGTGGCAGAGAAGTCCAGGATCCTGCAGCTGGAGGAGGAGCTGAGCCTCAGGCGCAGCGAGGTGGATGAGCTTCGGCAGTGCCTCAGGAACTCTCAACAAGCAGACACCCCAGAGCATAACCTTGGCTTGCAGTCAGAGGCTCTTCGTCTACGAGATCAACTGCTGTCTGCCAACAAGGAGCATCAGAAGGAGAGCAGCCAGCTAAAGGAGAAGTATGAGAAGATGTTAAAGAAGTACCAGCAGGAGATGGAGAAGCTGAAATCTGTCAATGAGAAGTACTCACAGGAAATCGTTGACCTAAAGCATAAAGTTCAGCAAGCCACTAATGAGAACATGGGGCTTATGGACAACTGGAAGTCCAAGTTGGACACATTAGCTTCAGACCACCAGAAGTCTCTGGAGGACCTGAAAGCCACACTGAACACAGGCCCTGACACCCAGCACAAGGAGATCGTGGAACTGAAGGCAGTGGTGGAGAGCATAAAGATGGAGCACCAGCTTGAGTTGGAGAACCTTAAAGCAAAGCATGACATTGAGACAGCTGTTCATATAAAGGAGAAAGAGAGTCTCAAACTGAAGTTGCAAGAGGCTGTGGATGAAATGGAAAAAAGCAACAGCAACTGGAAAATGCAACTGGAAACAAAAAACAGTCAGCACCTTCTTGAGCTCCAGGATGTGAAGGACAAGTGTCGAGATGCTGAACTGAGGGTGCTTGAACTGGAGAAACTTCATGGTGAATATACGGATCAGACAGAAGCAATAGCTTTCTTAAAAGAGCAGATTTCTTTGGCTGAGAAGAAGATGTTGGACTATGAAACGTTACAGAAAACAGAAGCCCAGAGCAAACAGGAGATCCACAGATTGCAGGAGAAAGTGCTTGTTTTAGAGAACAAGCTGCAGTCCATGGAGGCCCTGCATCCTTCTCAGCATGCAAATGTATGACTTCTGGGTCATTTTGCTTGTTTATCATCAGTTTCATTTTCTGCAACCCCACAGGAACAAATTGTAAATTGAGGTTTTTGCTCATTTTTTATTCAAAATTCAAACACAAACAAGGGTCCAGCCTAGATGCATGAGTAGCCATCTCCCCCTCCTCACTCTAATGCAAAGTGAGCCACATGTCCCTTAGTTCCCCACACTGGTGCCATCCTGACCCCTGCTAGCAGGTCCACTATAATCCTCAAAGCCAGCATTTCCCTGTGTCTCCCATGTGGTGTAAAATCTACCCATGGCCTCTGCTGCGTTGCTGGCACACACTTCTCACCCAACCCTATCTGCTCATCCCCCTAACCAAGGCTCTCAAATCATGCTCCACGTCCTGAGCAAGCTACATGCTCTCTCTATCTTAGCGTAGGCAATGGCTCTTCGTTCACCCTCCCCTCCACCTATCTCCCTAAGGGCCATTGCTCAATGATACATTAAGGCTACTACATGGAAGACAACAGCAGTATTGCAGAAATGATGCTTTTTCAGGTCAGAACAGTGCTTGCTTAGGATGAGAGCCCATCCCTCACAACCACAATAACCCTTTTCCACTGCTGGAGCAGCCGTGTGCCTCTAAGCCCAGATGTGGCCCACTTGTACTTCTCTTAAACAACTGTGCCACTGTACTGGTTTTCCAGAGTGGGAAGACACCTTCAGCACGGAGATGCAGTGCAGAAAAATCACTATCAATGGAAGGTAAAAACATTCACATACTTTGAGGCATTAAAGCCTCAGAAAACCACATAACGTAGCACTGGAGGGTTAATCTTAGGAAGGGTTACTAAAGGTATCACAGTATCACAGTATGTTAGAGATTGGAAGGGACCTCAAAAGATCATCTAGTCCAATCCCCCTGCCGGGGCAGGAACACCTAGATAAGGTTACACAGGAACGTGTCCAGGCGGGTTTTGAATGTCTCCAGAGAAGGAGACTCCACAACCTCCCTGGGCAGCCTGTTCCAGTGTTCTGTCACCCTCACTGAGAAGAAGTTTCTTCTCAAGTTTAAGTGGAACCTCTTGTGTTCCAGTTTGTACCCATTGCCCCTTGTCCTATCATTGTTTGCCACTGAGAAGAGCCTGGCTCCATCCTCGTGACACTCCCCCTTTATATATTTATATACACTAATAAGGTCACCCCTCAATCTCCTCTCCAAACTATAGAGACCCAGCTCCCTCAGTCTTTCCTCATAAGGGAGATGCTCCACTCCCTTAATCATCTTAGTTGCCCTGCGCTGGACTCTCTCCAGCAGGTCCCTGTCCTTCTTAAACTGAGGGGCCCAGAACTGGACACAATATTCCAGATGAGGTCTCACCAGGGCAGAGTAGAGGGGAAGGAGGACCTCTCTCGACCTACTAACCACCCCCCTTCTAATACACCCCAGGATGCCATTGGCCTTCTTGGCCACAAGGGCACATCACTCAGACCCCCAGGTCCCTCTCCCCTACACTGCTCTCTAACAGGTCGTTCCCCAACCTATACTGGAACCTGGGGTTGTTCCTGCCCAGATGCAGGACTCTACACTTTCCCTTGTTATATTTCATCAAGTTATTCCCTGCCCAACTCTCCAGCCTGTCCAGGTCCCTCTGGATGGCAGCACAGCCTTCTGGCGTGTCGGCCACTCCTCCCAGCTTAGTGTCATCAGCAAACTTGCTGATAGTACACTCAATTCCCTCATCTAAATCATTGATGAATATATTAAATAATACTGGTCCCAGTACCGACCCTTGAGGCACTCCACTAGATACAGGCCTCCAACTAGACTCCGCCCCATAGACTACAACTCTCTGGCTTCTCTCCTTCAGCCAGTTCACAGTCCACCTCACTACCCGATCATCCAGACCACACTTCCTCAATTTAGCTGCAAGGATGCTGTGGGAGACCGTGTCAAACGCTTTGCTGAAGTCAAGGTAGACCACATCCACCGCTCTGCCATCATCCATCCACCGTGTTATTTCCTCATAAAAGGCTACGAGATTGGTCAAGCACGACTTCCCCTTGGTGAAGCCATGTTGACTGCCCCTCATAACCCTCTTATCCTTGATATGCCTTAAGATGGCACCAAGGATAAGGTGTTCCATCACTTTCCCAGGAATGGAGGTGAGGCTAACCGGTCTATAGTTACCCGGGTCCTCCTTCTTGCCCTTTTTGAAGACGGGAGTGACATTTGCTTTCCTCCAGTCCTCAGGCACCTCTCCCGTTTCCCAAGACTTGGTAAAGATGATGGAGAGCGGTCTAGCAATGACCTCAGCCAGTTCCCTCAGCACCCGCGGGTGCATCCCATCTGGACCCATGGATTTATGGATGTCCAGATTGCTCAACTGGTCTCTAACCCATTCCTCATCGACTAAGGCAGACCGCTCCGTTGACCTGACTTCATCTGAGGTCTCAGCGGTACAGGGCTCTTCAGGACTGCCTCCGGCAGAGTAGACAGAGACAAAGAAGGCATTCAGTAACTCTGCCATCTCTGTATCTTCTGTCACCAGGGCACCCGTCCCGTTCATCAGCGGGCCTACATTGCCTCTGGTGTTAGTTTTATCTGCCATGTATTTGAAAAAGCTCTTTCTGCTGTCCTTGACCCCTCTCGCCAGCTTTAATTCCAAGGAGGCCTTAGTCATCCTAGCTGCTTTCCTACATCCTCTAGCAGCAGCCTTATATTCCTCCCAAGTGGCCAGCCCCTCCTTCCATGACCTGTAAACTCTCCTCTTCCACTTGAACATACCCAGCAATTCCCTATTTAGCCACGCAGGTCTCCTGGCCCTCTTCCTTGACTTCCTACGTGTCGGGATGCTCTGATCTTGAGCTTAGAAAAAGCAGTCCTTGAATGCCAACCAACTATCTTGGGCCCCTTTCCCTTCAAGCAGCCTAGCCCACGGGATTCCCCCTAGCAATTGCTTGAAAAGGCCAAAGGAACCCTAAAGGATCCTCCTGGACTGCGGCTGGGTTGCCGAGCAGTCCTTCCAGCAAACATCAGGGAAGTTAAAATCCCCCACAACGACCACGGCCTGTGACTGTGAGGCCGCTCTCAGCTGCCTGTAGAAGGCCTCGTCAACTTCCTCACCCTGATCCGGTGGCCTGTAACAGACCCCCACAACAGTATCGCCCCTGCCAGCCTGCCCCTTAATTCTCACCCACAGTCTCTCAACTCGCTCATCATCTGTCCCTGGACAGAACTCAGTGCATTGTAGCTGCTCTCGCACATAAAGAGCAACCCCACCACTCCGCCTGGCTGGCCTGTCTTTCCTGAAAAGGACATAGCCCTTCATGACTATATTCCAGTCATGTGAGCTGTCCCACCACGTCTCTGTTGTAGGTAGTTAGGGTCTGGCGATCGGAAGATGTCGCGCTGTACGGAAAGATAAGACCCCCCTCCGAGTAGCCAATAGGGCCTAGCCTAGGTCGTAAGCAGACGGACGTGACGTTGTAAACCCAGGCTCTATAACGCCGTGTTACTCGCCAATAAACGCCATTTGCCATCCACCACATTGGTGTCCGTGAGCTGATGGCCTGAGCGGCCTGGGGTTGGTCGCCCTGCCGTTCCTGAACCAGGTCGCCATGCCAACGAAGGCAACAAGTGGTGCTGAAACCTGGGAATCGTCTGGACAGGTGAACGGCGGCCAGAGCAGCTGGACCAGCCCGGCGGGGAGGACGCCCCCGGCCCAACAGGGAGGACGGAGGCCCTTGTGAAGGTCATATCTCAGTTACATAAGCAGTGGGGTATTGATTGTAAGCCCAAAGATTTTACTCTCGCAGTTGCAAGTCTTTTACAAACTGGGGTCATTGACCAGCCAGTGGATATTCTCCACCCTGAGCTGTGGGATAAATGCACTGAAGTGTTAGCCGAGGAGACGATGTCCTCGGGTTGTGGGAAATACCTTAAGTCGTGGGGGAAAGTCATACAGACCCTGTGCAAGGCCATGCAAGAGCAGGAGACCTGGAAGGCAGCAAAGAACTGTTCGTGGGCTACCCCGAAATTGGGAGTCGGGGCAGCTACACAAACTCTGCACCCCCCAGACGGTGATGGCTCTACTGAGCCTAAAGATATGCAGAAAGGCGACACGCCTCCCCAGTCCCTGAATCCCGACCCGCCTACGGAGGGACAGGAACGAGCAAAATCCTTTTGGGGTGGGTTGGTCGAGGAGCCCAGGGGCGCCGCGGAGAAGGAGTCCGAGGCAATTGGGGTTAGCCCGCCGCCCTGTGCGCCCCAAAATGGCGCCGAGCGGAGAGAAGGAGGGCGGGGCGAAGATGTCCCCGGCGGGAACAGGGGGGAAGTGCTAGAACTGACAAGAGCGCGTAAAGGGGGGGGGGAGGAGAATGAGAGGGAGAACCGAAAGGGGGAGGGACGCGCGAGCAAGGGGCGGACAGCCAATCAGAGGGCGGGGCGAACCAGGAGGGCGGGGAGAGCCCAGAGGGAGGGAACGGCCCGCCCACAAGAAAAGTGGGCGGGCCGGAGCCCGACGAAAAGGGGCGGGAAACCTGAGGTAACCGGTCAGTCGGCTTCCGACTCTGAGTCAGACACTGCCTGGGGCGAGTGGCTCGCAATCGATTCACACTCAGAGGAGGAGGAAACGGAGGTAAACAAAGTCAAGAGCCAAAGCATTCCCGTCCGGACTAAAGAGGAACGGCGAGGGGAAGAAGTCCCTCTGACGGACTGGAAGGAAATAAAGATTGCGTGTGCCGACTGGGCCCCATCAGTCAAACTAGCATTCCCGGTGGGTGACAGGCGGGGGACAGAGGGTGCGCTCGCCAATAAACCCTAAGGATGTACAAGCAATTGTTAAGGCAATTGCAGATAAAGGGCTTAATTCTGCCATGGTCTCCACGCTCATAGATGGTGTTTTCGGAAGAGACGATATGCTCCCGTTCGATATAAAACAGGAATGGAGATGGGGATGGGAACAACGATAGAGGCTAGCCCTTACAGGGTGACCTCCAGAATAAAACTAATGAAAATTGTGAGTTTATTGAAAGCCCTCGTAACTCGTACGCCCTGGTGACAAGAGAGCACGACAAGTCTCTAACCATTGCGTCTGTACCCAGGAGCTCCACACCAGCGGACCCCGAGCAACAGCGAAATAGCCCCCAAGGGAGGGGGCTACGATGCCTTTGTCTGATTTTGATTTTGGGGTTTGTTACTATAGGGCAAGTAGAATGATCGTGCTGGTATTACTCTTTGGACCCTGTATATTGAATCGCCTTGTGTCATTTGTGAAGAGCCGGCTAGAACAGGTTAACATCATGCTTGTAGAAAGCCACCAACTACTTTAAGAATGTATCTACTCAGTATTACCCCCACTTATCCCAACTTGCCCCAACTTACAACCCGTTACCTTAATTACCCCTCACTAACCACTTACCCGAAGTCATTAACCACTAACCTGAAGTGCCTCATGCTGTAACATTTTTTATATGTATATGTGTACCCTTTTCTACTTTTCTACTTTTTTACTTTTTATATTAGCCTATTTAATTAAACATAGGGAGGGGGGAAATGTAGGTAGTTAGGGTCTGGCGGTCGGAAGATGTCGCGCTGTGCGGAAAGATAAGACCCCCCTCGGAGTAGCCAATAGGGCCTAGCCAAGGTCCTAAGCAGACTGACGTGACGTTGTAAACCCAGTCTCTATAACGCCGTGTTACTCGCCAATAAACGCCATTTGCCATCCACCACATTGGTGTCCGTGAGCTGATGGCCCGAGCGGCCTGGGATTGGTCGCCCCCGTTCCTGAACCAGGTCGCCACGCCAACGAAGGCAACACTCAGGCAATACAAACTGCTAGTATCTCACCCTTTAGCTTCTGTTGAATTGTTTTGGGGAGTTTTAGGGGTAATTTTGTTTGGGATTTTGTTTGTTTGTAGTGTGGGTGCATCCTTAAAAGCCCGCCCTCCCAGCCTGCTATTTTATCCACCCCAGATGTTATAAGATAAAATGTGTGCTATCATTTGTTAGTGTAATAAATGGCTCCAAGAATGAGCTCAGCATCTCACTGTCTCTAGCAGGACTGCTCAGTTTACATTGGGAATTGTTTGCATGCATTAGTAGGGGTCCAGGAAAAGACCAGATAATGAATGACAAGAAGAAGAAATAATTTTGCTGTTAAGTTCAGTAACATGTGCTTGGCTTGGCAGATGGCTTCTTTCAGTAATGGAGATGTCAGCTAACAATGTTTGGTGCTTGAATGCATACACCATAATTTTGGATTAAGCTGAGTTGCCTCAAATACCCTGAGTAAATCTTTGCTCTTGTCCTCTATGGATCGGTACAGGTTTAGTTGTCTTTATTACTCTGTGCTTTTATGAAAGACTTTTATTTGAGAATGGCTTTTAGGCAGATGGGATCCAGCAAAGGCTGTTCAAGTGAGGGAGGACATGTGTTCTGTTATTGCTCAGTGGATGGAGCACAAGGTTGCAGGGGTCCCTTCCAGGTCTGCAAGGCTGCTCTGCATTGTGCTCATTCCCTGCTAGTGGTTTTATTTAACTTCACTCAAGTCCATTATAGCTTGAAGACATTTTTGCTTTTCAGTGAGTTTGTTCTGAGACCCTTTTTGGCGCTAGCGGTTGCAAAAAGTGACTTGGCTTTCCATTAGAAGAAATAGATAGTATTTGCTTTTGGCACTTTCTAACTCAGATTTTCTCCCAGAGATGCACAAATTTCATTAAAGAGATAAAACCCCTACTCAACTATTGTAGAACTCGATCTCTTGAAGTCTGGCAAGTGAATGTGGAACAGTTAACCTTTGCTTTAGTAAGAATGGAGCTTCCCAAAGTAAGATAATTGCTGGAGTGCTGCTGTTAATGTGAGGCTGGCTTGTTGCCTTTCTCCAGGGAAAGAAGGGATGGAAACAGAGTGATGGAGCAGTTGAGCATTTTCTGCCTGGGAGGAATCTCTGCTGTGTTGTGTTGTTTGTTTTTTTTTTCTGAAGAAAATGTATTTTACATGCTTTGGGGAGGCTTTCTCAGCAGGTGAACTCATTCCACCCTAGATGTGATTGCTTTCTTAAGGTGGGAAGGAAGTGGCTGTTCTCTACCGTAAGTAGCCTGTGGTGGAGCAAATGGTGTTATTACCATGGGTGGACTTTGTATCAGGCTCAGGACGGGACGCTGTAATTCTAGGCTTTCCTCTTACTCCACATCCCTAGGACATTATTTTCTCAATGGTGCCTGAAAGATAAAATGTGCAGAAAGGTCTTGCATCAGCAGTGCTGTCAGACATCCCTGTGCAATGCTGACTCAGGCTGTGGGGATGCAAAAAGATGAGTGGTTTGATTAAAAGAAACTATAAAATTTCCTGTAACTTCACATAGGAAAGGCTGTCCTGTAATTCCTGGCTGCATCTTTCTGCCTCTACCCTAAAAGCTTCTCTTTCTTCATCCTAAGAGCCTGTTCTGGTGTTCAGAGATGACATGGTGAGTATCTGATGGGATGAAACTGCTGATGGCCACCTGAAGTAAGTTGTATTTACAGACAAACTTGACCACAAGCCAGATCTTCACTTTACCACCAGCTTGCTGAATGCTGTTACTGGCTATCAGATGGGACACAGGAAGTGGCATGCATTTCTACATGTATGCACATTAACTCCTTGTATGTATAGATCATTATTTCATGTGATCTGTAATGGCTGGACCCACACCTGCTGGAAAAAATACCCTCTGTAAATCAAGTCTCATACAGTAATCTGCCATTGGTACTTGGAAGAGCAAGAGTGGTAGGAAAACGCAGTTTCTACCTGTCTCAGCTTGTGTGGAAATGGGCTTCCATTGTCTGGGTGGATGAGTGTATGTGAGAAATACCTCCTTTTCCACAAAGGGAAAGGATGGCTGTTGCACTTTACACACTGGATACAGGCTGCAGCTACAAGAGCAAGCAGCACTTGTCCAATAAAGGTGAGCTTTAATTTCTTGTTAGTATCATCCAGTAATAGTGTTGAGTAAGCTTATGTGCTGCACATTGAAAGCAGATGAAGGTCTAAGGAGTAAAGAAGGGTGACCTGTCTGCCCTTTCCTCCTGTCCTTTTCCTTTGTCCTCCCACATGCAAGCAGGAGGAGAGTTTCACTGCTGACTCCTGGACCATGCATGTCATGATGGGGAGCAGTCTATGTTGGCCTGAATGACACATTGCATTGCCTGCAAGCCCTGGGTTGAGGACAGCTCTTAAAAGGTTCTTGCTGGGAGCAAGAGACTGTTGTGGGGTGAGCAGGGAGGACATAAGGAAAAGAGCAAACGCAGGCTGGAGGGAGTCTGACTTGCAGCAGCCGCATTGAGATATGGCCTGGTGCTAATTTGGTAAATTGTTTCAGTGATACATTAGCAACTTTGATGAAGGCAGTGTCTGGAAGGATCAGCATCACTGTCTGTCCGTTGCTGGGATATTGGTCTGGATCCAGTTTTGTCATTTTGATGAGAAAACTAAGTAAATCATGATGCCAGTGATACTGTAATTAGCAGGGAAGGCATGTGGATGTCCTTCAATGAGTGTGTATTGCTTTTCTGGCTCACCAGTTGGAATACAAACCTGTTAAATGTTCCTGGCTACATTTTGTTGTGAAGGTCAAGGTCAAGAGTGTCACTTCAGATGAGATTGGGATGATGATCTTGAGCCAAAGGTGTGAGAAAGGCATCCGGTTGCTGAGGCAGAGCACTTCAGTCTGAACCTGAACTGTCCAGGAGCTCTGAGGCTGCTTGAATCTGGCTGGAGAAGGTGGATCACTATGAGCTTGTTAGAAGTTAATCATAAGTGATTTACCTGAAACAGAGAAACTGTGGTAGGGGTTGGAACTGAATGAGCTTTAAGGTCCCTTCCAACCCAAACCAGTGTGGGATTGTATGAAAAAGGCAGGTTGTCCTATGCAGTTTCTTTGCTTTACTCTGAGCACTTAGCAAGTTGCAGGTGTGATTGTGGCTCAGATTAATGCACCAGGCTGAGACACACAGACACGTTTTCCATGTCTCAGGCTGGCACTGATGCTAATGTCAGGCTGAGATGCTCATAAGATGGAAATCCTCTGGTCTCCAGTGTGATGCTGCTGAGTCTTGTTAGTGCAGCAGGAGCCATCCGCCTGAGCTGTCTTTCATACTCAGATTGTGGAGCATGGTGTCAAAACTAGGCATGGGCAGAAGGGGTGGCTGTGTACTACCAGGCATTGTGCTATGTATCCGTGCACCATTCTGTGCACGGATACAACCTGCCAGCTGGCTTCTCCCAAAACACAGTATTGACTTTAGCAGCATTAGAGGATTATCAAGGCTGAATAAACCTGCATGTCTAAGTTGGATGAATTTTCTAGGCTCTCCAGAAAAGTTTCTGTGTGGCTGCCAAAAGATGGGGAGCTCAACAAGAGGGTCGAGTGCTGGCATGTGAGTGTGACAGCCTGATACTGGCTTCTGACTGTACTGCCAGCCCTAGCAGGCTGTTGAAGAGCAGATGTGTCCTTTCTGGCTTTGGGAGAAGGTAATGCTGTATGGTGAGGGTGTATTATGTAGAAAAGATGGTAGTAATTAATGCTTGAAAGACAAAATAAACCACATTGCTCTGGAGGCAGAGGATTGCATGGCTGTCTGGGGGAGTGTTAAAGCTGATCTGTGCTTAGCATCCTTGCTGATGTATGGCTTTTGAGTAGGAACATGACCTGCTCTCTTACTGTGCAGATTTAGTGTTGGTCTGATTAGGTGATGTGTGTATTAAATTAATAGGGCTAGTTCTTTTCTCTGCTGTTTGGAAACAGCCTTCTCAAAATAGTAATATCTATGGGGATGTAGCTGAGTGGTCTTGTTGGTTTTGTGGATGGAGGAGTGTGGCTCTCGTAGATGCCCCAGAACAGCATGGTAGGAGTCCTGCTGATAGGGAGAGCTCCTCAGATTTTAAAGGTGTTTATGTGAGGGTGTGTGGGGTTGGGATCCTGTGGCTTGGTGAAGGAATTGTGGCTCAATGTCTGTAATGAAAACTCAACAAAAGAAACTGGAAGGAGCTTACCTGCAATGGTAAGTTCCTATGAATGAAGTTAAGATCAATTACACTTCTATTGAATTCAGCTTGCAGCTAAAGAAATGTATTAGAAAGGCAGTAAATCATTGCATTAATATTAAGAGACTAAATCTGTATAAACTCAAAAGGGGGATTGCTGTTTGCCTATGAGAGTGATCAAGAATTTCACTGGAACTGCTGAAATCTGTCACTTGCCAAGAATCTGTCACTGAAATGGAATCGTCTTTTCCACCTGGACACAGTGTAGGACCAGAAAGCTTTTCTTGTGATGCTTTCCCTCCTTCCTATAGCAAAGAGAACAACATCAACAAAGCTTTTCCCATAAGCAGCCCTTTGAATCCCTAGTGAGAGAAATCACCACAGACTAACTGGAGCTGCGTGCTGCAGTGCAGCCTCCAGGGCTGGAGGTAGGACCCAGACATGAAAGCTGTGTTTTCTGGCCCATTCAGGTGCAGTTATGTTTAGGCTGGGAAAGCTTGCTCCCTTGCATTAGCAATTTTCAGAATGTTTAAGGATTTGGAATTGGTAAGTTTGTAACATCACTGCCCTGGAATACACATCACTGGAGGTTTCTGTGCTGTTTTCTGTAGAACTTAACTCTGATACCTGTTTCTGTAAAATTTAATATTAAGGAAACTAATAACTGGAAGTCATTCAAGATAAAGCTGCAAATATAATTTTAACTCATTTTTAAAGCTTTCTTCCTTGAACCTAGGTTTTAGCAGAGATAGGCCAAAAAAGCTTTAAATCATATCTGGCGTACTTACAAGTATGAACCTTTGGAAGCACACTTGTACTTTTCCATCTTTCTCTTCCCAGCATAAGTACCTAAGTAGGAGCTTCTAGTGTAAACGTAGAGGCAGCTGCTGCTGAGTGCCTTGTGCTCTCACAGCAGTGATCAGAACACAGCTTCATATATTCCTGTCTTACACTCTCCCAGAGTTTACTCAGCACACTGAAAGCTTTACATGTACATACAGGAGTAAAAGGTGTGATTTATTCTTATTTCTCCATGAAGGGGAAAAAAAATGGTGCTAGCAGAAGCCTGCAGTGAGATGAGACCCTTCCCCATTAGTGCTGTGAATTGACAGAGGATGTGTAGGTAAAACCAGGGGCGTTCTGTATGAAACACTTCTATTTTGAGAGGTTTGCTGAAAGGGCTGCCACTGTGTCCTAGCAAACCTTGTGTGGGGATAAGCTGAAGAGTGAGAAGTGCTTTCCTTGCTTAGCTTGTCCCTTTTGATGTCCTGTCCCAGTATTGGTCACAACTGCCAGCTGAAAAAGCACAGGCCTGAAACAGTGCAGCACGTGGTTCTTTACAGAAGGCAGGTATAAGCTGTGCTTGGAGGGCTTTAAACTCCTTGATGGCCTCACAAGTAGCTCTGTGCAATTGGACTATGCACCTTGAAATCTGTTTTCATTATATTTGTTCTGACATCCTCTGGGCAGGCAGATCCAAAAGGGGGTGTTTGTCAACTTGCTTGTAGTTATTGGAGAGACATCTTCAGTGCTAGAATGTTGCCTTCGTTGGCGTGGCGACCTGGTTCAGGAACGGCACGGCGACCAATCCCAGGCAGCTGGGGCCATCAGCTCACGGACACCAGTGTGGTGGATGGCAAATGGTGTTTATTGGCGAGTAACACGGCGTTACAGAGCCTGGGTTTACAACAGACTAACAGACGGGTCTTTCCTTGCGTCTCATCAAAGTGCACAGCAACTAGTGCATGGCAGTTATGTTGGGTTTCTCTGCTTAAGCACCACAAGTGAAAACACAGAGATAGCTACTACTCTAAGTGGCAGGAAAAGAGAATAATCCAACCACTTGCAGACAGGAAGCAGTATCACAGCAAAACCAAGAGATTAGCTGAGGACTGAGGTTATATGTTGCTTAGTAATGTTGCTTAGTAATGCTGTTCTGTAAGGCTTGAGTGAGTTGGATGCTTGACCACTTCTGACTTGGTGCATTTCCTGTATTACAGGTATTTTCAGTGTCCTCCCAAGTTTGGCCTCTTTGCTCCCATCCACAAGGTGATCCGGATCGGTTTCCCATCAACCAGCCCTGCCAAGGCAAAGAAGAGCCAACGAATGGCCATGGGACTGTCTGCCTTAACCCACAGCCCCAGCAGCTCCTCCATCAGCTCTGTCAGCACTGTGGCATCATCTGTTGGTGGCAGGCCCAGCCGCAGCGGGCTGGTAAGTGGCTCTTTCTGCAGACCATACAGCCTCGATCCACTTCTTCTGTGACCCAGCTCTACAAAGTAGGAAGCTTGGGGTTCTGTTTCAGCAGCTGCAGTGGGGCAGCTGCTCTTTTACCAGCAATGAGATGGAGAGTGGAGTGTGGGGTACTGTTGCCCACCTTACAAATAGGACTCCCTTCATGGACACAAGTTGTAACAGACACAGAGCAAGTGGGATCATTGCAAATAGCAGTTCAGGCTCTGTGATGGGAGGAATCTCAGCTCCACTGTCAAGGCAGGTTTTGTATAAGATCCCTGCAGACAAATGCCATTGCTTCTTGTCCAACATGGTCGTGTAGCAGTGTATTGCTCTATCAAACAGCCGTGCAAAGGCTCCTGCAACGGCTGTGTCTTGCTCTGGAAGGGTGACACTGTCTTGGATCACATGCCTTGTAGTTTGGCAAGTACTCAAGCAGGCAAATACCAGAGTAGGAGGCAGTATTAAGAGCTGACTGCGGTAGTGTGTGCTGCATAGCACCTGCAGTCATTTTGGCTGGGGACAAGGGTGCAGTATCTGTTACTGTGAGTGGATCTGAGTAGCACACAGCAGTCTACAGCTGAGAGCAGTCTACACAGCTGAACTCGCTGTTTGAGACTGCACCAGTGTAGGCCATCAATAAAATGTACTTAAGAAGGCAGATGCTCCAATAATACCTTTTCCTGATGCACTTCCACCCCATGTCCTGCCCTCTTCTGCAGTGCAGAAGAGCTACTGAGCTTGTAAGCAATGCCCAGATGTTTTGCAGACATAACCTGACCTGTAGGGTCCAGAGCTGGAACTGCAGCTTTGTACAGTGTAATAAAGGATCTGTAGGTGAGCTACATTCCAGATTTAACAGGAGCCTCAAGCTATTCCAGCCTGAGAAGGACATAGGTTTACCCCTGTCTCTTTTTAACTTGTTTTCCAGCTGACAGAGACCTCTTCTCGATATGCCCGAAAAATCTCTGGCACCACAGCTCTCCAGGAGACACTGAAGGAGAAGCAGCAGCACATTGAACAGCTCCTGGCAGAGCGTGACCTGGAGCGGGCTGAGGTTGCCAAAGCCACCAGCCACATCTGCGAGGTGGAGAAAGAGATTGCCATCATGAAGGCCCAACACGAGCAGGTAGGGGGTGATACGCTTTATCACTGGCACTCAAATATCTGGCATCCTCTGAAAGTTTTAGGTAACATTATGGCTGTATAGCTTCCTGATATGAAACCTGGGCTTTTAATTTCTGCTTCTTAAGTGGTGACAGCTTCCCACGTGGTGAATTGAGCTGAGGCTTATTCTGTGCTCCTGCCAGCGTCGCATGGGCTCTGTCTGCCCAAGCCAGGAGCAGAAAAGGGCTGTGCCAGAAGAAAGACAGCAGATATTGATCCACCAGACACAAACTACATTTGAATTCTGAAATGCAAGTAGAGGGCAAACTTGTTGCCCTTAGTCACCCAATCTGGTTGTGGCTGTGACTGCATTGCAGTGTTCCCTTGACGTTATCAAACACTGCTGAGAGCATCAGCTCAGTTATATGCCACTGCTTTCCTACCAGAGAGGAGGTCTTTATCACATTAATAAAGTCAAAAGACCTATAAGGAAAATGGGCTGATCATGTGAGGGGGTTTTTGCACAAACTTTTGTACAAATGATACTTTATGCACTTAAATGCTTAGAGGAGCTGTATTTGTTCTATTTGTCAAGATGTGGCTATTCAATGATTGCTGTCATGCCTCCCTGTCAGAAATGCAGGAGAGACTGGCAAATCAACCTCAACTGACATCATCTTCATGTCTAATATTTTCCAGTAGTGAGCAGTAACAAATGAACTAATACAACCCTGAAATGTCTCTCTTGCTTCATGACAAGGGCTGAATTGCACTGGTAACCTCAGGATGGATTTTTCACAACTATTGAGTCTTCAAGCTCTTAACTCTTAATTTAGAGCTGGATTCTCCAAAGGGTTCAAGTCAGAGAGGCACTGATGCATGGATCAAATTTACAGCTGCTGAAGATTGCTCAATTTTTTCCATTTTGATCCCTACATAATGGGCTCTTTGAAAAATCTGCCTTCCTACCATAGCATCCTCTGAAACAGATCATCAAAACCTTCTCTTCTCTTGTTCTGACCCTTTCTTAACCAACTCTGTGCTTAAAATTTGTAACTTATGTCTCGGGCTCTGTGGAGAGTTTTATTGATACATGGCTTGGAGAGCGGGGGCATGAAGAGCAGGTACGACTTGTGGGCCAGTAACAAAAGCAAGGTGTAAGCAATAGCCAGGCAACCAATCATAGGCAAGGTCGTTGTGTCTTTGTGCCGGCTGAAAAGTCCCTAATTACAATAACAAGGTGTAAAAAGAGGCTCTAAATTGCTGAAGTTAACCACAAAAGGGGCGGCGCTGACGGTTAGCAATTAACCAATGATGAGCTCATTATAGACGCTATATAACCTGTAACCTAACGCTCAATAAACGAGCCCAGTTGCATTATAGGATGGACTTGTCTCCCGTCGTTTTTCCACAGGGCTCTCTTTTTGCTGCAGTACGTCACGGAGGTAGAAGGAAACCTCCAGCGAGCACGAACTCTGGTGGGTGTGATGCAGAAGGAGAAGATTGAACTGTTGAACCAGCTGGAAGAGGAGAAGAGGTAAAACAGGAGTGAATGGGTATGAAGTCATGGGGGAGATGAGGCTCCTGCCCAAAAGCATCATTCACTGGATCTAAGGAGAAGAAAGTGACTGGGAAAGTCATCTTTGGATGTCTTTCAGTACTTCAGATATGTGTTTTCATCCTTCCTGGCCACTGCGGTCTACACTGTGTGTGGGGAAGGGTTGTACTGTGTCAGATAGTGGGAGGTTTAGAACGGTTCTGCTGCAGTTGCACATCTGATGTGAATCTTGTGTAGGATTGTGCTTCCAGTACTGTAGCTGCCCCCATTTTCTGACGAACTGCTGCTAATGACAACCAAACAGTGAAGTATTTCCCATTAGTCTTGTACAGCCCTATGTCGTTTAGCTCTTAGAGAAAACTCAAAGCTGTATTATCTCGTGGGGTTGGAGTGAGCTAACTTTTTTGTGTCTCAGGTTGCTTGGATATGATCAGCTAAACCTAATACCCCACTATTACAAAGCAATTTAAAGGCAGAAAGCAAACAGCCAGGGCAGCTCATACTTGGGTATGAGTTTCATGATTTAACATGGTTTCCTGCCAAATGCATGGAGAAGCAGCACTATTTGCCTGAAGGAACGAAGGGCTCTGGTAGTATCAGTTACTCTGAGATTTAAAACCGTGACCAAACTCGGCCATGTCACTGTGAAATGGAGTTGCTCACTACAGGTGGGATTAATTAATGGCAAGGCTTTGGACAGTGACAAAGCCTTGGCTAAGGATACAGCATAAGGTAACAGTACTGGATAATAAAGAGAACTGTGCAGTTCGGGCTGTCCCAGACCCCTAACCTTTCTGTACAATCTGGATTTACTAAGGACCACTTCTTTCCCCTCCATTTGGGATATGCAGATCTTAAGGACATTCCTTCTGAGGAAGGGAAGTCAAATTGGAATACAGACTTACTGTAGTGTGATTGATCACCTCCCCACATCCCAGAGGCCCCATCCCTATATACATGAAGATGCATACATTTTCTCTCTGGGTAAGAGTAAAGATCTGCTTGTCATTCTTGCAGTCCAATTGCTGTCTATATATAATTAAACTCTTCAGTGGGAATAGAAATACATTTCTGTGTATTAAGTAACTGAAACCAGTGTTGAGTTCAATTGAATAATGCTCCTCCTGAGGATCCATTGTTCTTCTGTGCATAAGTCTTCATGTTCTCTTGCTAGGTAGCTCACTTTCCCAGCTCTAGGAGGCCCTTTAACCCAAGACAGCTGACTCCTTTCCTAAATATCAACAGATGCCTCCTCTAATTACAGGAGGTTTACACAAGGAAGCTTGTTTATGAAGTTAGATATGTACTCTCACAGTAATTTTCATCTGTAACGGGATATGAATCCTTACATCTGGCTACCAGCTCAACATCCTTATTATTGCCTACTTTTTAATCAGTGAAGAGAACAAAGAGGGCTGAGGTTAGAAGAAAACTGAATTATTTTGTATCATTACTGGACTTTCTCTTCAGACTTTACAAGAGAGTCTTAGTCATGTCTCTGTGTGTTCATGTAGGTTTATGTGTGTTTAGTCATGACTGGCCTGTACAAGCTCTGGTGAAGGCTTTTCTGCCAGGGCAGCTCCCCATTTCCATGCTTTGGAAATGTTAGGTATTGCCCACCCTCTACCAAGGAGGCAGAGGCTGATTCCCTTGGAATAATTTGTATGGACCTGTGCAATTGGCACAGGAATGGGTCAGTGCTCGGCTGCAGGATAACAACGTCCGTGTAAACCAGTGAAACCTGGTTGTGGTTTTCATGTTTTCAGGATCCTAGTGTCAGTGAATAGCAGTTGTGCCTGCTGAGAGGGGGTGCAGCAGAAGCAGCACATCTGTGAGTGTGTACCTTACAAGGCAAATGTTTGCTATGTGGAAAACTTATTACTGTTTAGCTCCATGGGTCTTGCTGTTTAGCTGCTTCTAAGCTGTTTGTGTACAAAGATTGTCTATTTCCCTCTTCTCTCAGGCTTCTGATGTGTAGGGGAGGCCCATGTGCAGTGGCTGCTTAGAAAGAGGTTGCTGATCTAGGTGTTACTGATTTCTCTTTTGTGTTCTCTCCCCTCCTCAGGAAAGTGGAGGACCTGCAGTTCCGTGTGGAAGAAGAATCCATTACAAAGGGGGATCTGGAGGTAATTCCTAACACCTTGACACCCCTTGAATGTGGGGTCAGAACCTCAAATTGTACGTGGGGACTCGCTTGATTGACTTCTGCCACCTTTTGCTAACTCCAAACAATATTTTATCTTTACTGATGGCTTTGGATGTGCTGTGAACACCGTGGTATAAACTGTGAAGATTGTTCTTTGGTATGTTGCCAATGACTAATAATGCTGCAAGCTGCCTAGAATTAATCACGTGCAGCCAACTTGGCTTTAAGTGTCACCAGGAGTTGCCAAGCCATGTTAATTCTGACTGTATCTGAACGCATTTCAACATACGTTTTTCCACTGTAGAAATGAACTGACTGCTTAGTCACTGTCCCTGTCAGATGTTATTCTATTCCAGCTGAAGTGCTGTGTATGATTTGACCTGTGGTATCCCTGTGTGGAGTCCTCTGCCCATAAGTGTGAGGTTTGACACTAGGATACCCATTCATTTGAAGGGTATGCTTGGAGTGATGCTGTGGCAGTGAACATTGTGCAATCTGGAAGTGATGTTGGGAATTTGCCCTTGAGTAGGAGGCTTTACTGTGGGGGAGAAATGGAAAAGATACTTCTGTGAAAGCAAGGCTTTGCTCTGTACGTGCAAATCAAAGGACTTTAGCTAGAGTGCTAGGTTAGTAACAGCCAGAAATGTCGGGGGACCTGTTCCTGTGCTTCTCCGTAGGGCATATCAGTAAAAGCCCAGGAAAATGGGAAAACTAGGCAATAGAATATGTTGCTATGGCTTTGACCGTTGTGGCATAAGCCTCTCCTCTTTATCTAAAAGCAGAATAATGTGTTTGGCAAGGTATAAATAAGCAGTGTACTGATGGCATACCTTTGTTAGTGGAGGGATGGTTTCCCACGATAGGTTCAATTTTCTTGCACACAGCCACTACGAGTACCATGTAAAATCCTGTAATGACCATTTTCTGTTTGGATTTTTCCTGCTTATTTGGATCTTTATTCTCCTTCTGTTGTGAACTGCCTTTCCTTGTCTTGTACACTGAAGATGATGTTGCAGCCTTCTCTTTCCCTCTCTTTCTCTCTCTCCCCTGCCCTTTTCCCATTTCCACTGTTCTTTTCTCCTTCTGTATGACCAGACTCAGACGCAGTTGGAGCATGCAATGGCTCTTCTTTCACCCTCCCCTCCACCTATCTCCCTAAGGGCCATTGCTCAATGATACATTAAGGCTACTACATGGAAGACAACAGCAGTATTGCAGAAATGATGCTTTTTCAGCTCAGAACAGTGCTTGCTTAGGATGAGAGCCCATCCCTCACAACCACAATAACCCTATTCCTCTGCTGGAGTAGCCGTGTGCCTCTAAGCCCAGATGTGGCCCACTTGTACTTCTCTTAAACAACTGTGCCACTGTACTGGTTTTCCAGAGTGGGAAGACACCTTCAGCATGGAGATGCAGTGCAGAAAAATCACTATCAATGGAAGGTAAAAACATTCACATACTTTGAGGCATTAAAGCCTCAGAAAACCATATAAGGTAGCACCTGAGGCTTAATCTTAGGAAGGGTTACTAAAGGTGATGATAAACAAGCAAAATGACCCAGAAGTCATACATTTGCATGCTGAGAAGGATGCAGGGCCTCCATGGACTGCAGCTTGTTCTCTAAAACAAGCACTTTCTCCTGCAATCTGTGGATCTCCTGTTTGCTCTGGGCTTCTGTTTTCTGTAACGTTTCATAGTCCAACATCTTCTTCTCAGCCAAAGAAATCTGCTCTTTTAAGAAAGCTATTGCTTCTGTCTGATCCGTATATTCACCATGAAGTTTCTCCAGTTCAAGCACCCTCAGTTCAGCATCTCGACACTTGTCCTTCACATCCTGGAGCTCAAGAAGGTGCTGACTGTTTTTTGTTTCCAGTTGCATTTTCCAGTTGCTGTTGCTTTTTTCCATTTCATCCACAGCCTCTTGCAACTTCAGTTTGAGACTCTCTTTCTCCTTTATATGAACAGCTGTCTCAATGTCATGCTTTGCTTTAAGGTTCTCCAACTCAAGCTGGTGCTCCATCTTTATACTCTCCACCACTGCCTTCAGTTCCACAATCTCCTTGTGCTGGGTGTCAGGGCCTGTGTTCAGTGTGGCTTTCAGGTCCTCCAGAGACTTCTGGTGGTCTGAAGCTAACGTGTCCAACTTGGACTTCCAGTTGTCCATAAGCCCCATGTTCTCATTAGTGGCTTGCTGAACTTTATGCTTTAGGTCAACGATTTCCTGTGAGTACTTCTCATTGACAGATTTCAGCTTCTCGATCTCCTGCTGGTACTTCTTTAACATCTTCTCATACTTCTCCTTTAGCTGGCTGCTCTCCTTCTGATGCTCCTTGTTGGCAGACAGCAGTTGATCTCGTAGACGAAGAGCCTCTGACTGCAAGCCAAGGTTATGCTCTGGGGTGTCTGCTTGGTGAGAGCTCCTGCTCTTTTAAGAAAGGTATCACAGTATCACAGTATGTTAGAGATTGGAAGGGGCCTCAAAAGATCATCTAGTCCAATCCCCCTGCCGGAGCAGGAACACCTAGATAAGGTTCCACAGGAACGTGTCCAGGCGGGTTTTGAATGTCTCCAGAGAAGGAGACTCCACAACCTCCCTGGGCAGCCTGTTCCAGTGTTCCGTCACCCTCACTGAGAAGTTTCTTCTCAAGTTTAAGTGGAACCTCTTGTGTTCCAGTTTGTACCCATTGCCCCTTGTCCTATCATTGTTTGCCACTGAGAAGAGCCTGGCTCCATCCTCGTGACACTCCCCCTTTATATATTTATATGCACTAATAAGGTCACCCCTCAATCTCCTCCAAACTATAGAGACCCAGCTCCCTCAGTCTTTCCTCATAAGGGAGATGCTCCACTCCCTTAATCATCTTAGTTGCCCTGCACTGGACTCTCTCCAGCAGGTCCCTGTTTTTCTTGAACTGAGGGGCCCAGAACTGGACACAATATTCCAGATGAGGTCTCACCTCATCTGTAGGTGAGCTGAGTAGAGGGGAAGGAGGACCTCTCTCGACCTACTAACCACCCCCCTTCTAATACACCCCAGGATGCCATTGGCCTCTTGGCCACAAGGGCACATCCACTAGGACCCCCAGGTCCCTCTCCCCTACACTGCTCTCTAACAGGTGGTTCCCCAACCTATACTGGAACCTGGGGTTGTTCCTGCCCAGATGCAGGACTCTACACTTTCCCTTGTTATATTTCATCAAGTTATTCCCCGCCCAACTCTCCAGCCTGTCCAGGTCTCGCTGAATGGCAGCACAGCCTTCTGGCGTGTCGGCCACTCCTCCCAGCTTAGTGTCATCAGCAAACTTGCTGATAGTACACTCAATTCCCTCATCTAAATCATTGATGAATATATTAAATAATACTGGTCCCAGTACCGACCCTTGAGGCACTCCACTAGATACAGGCCTCCAACTAGACTCCGCCCCATAGACTACAACTCTCTGGCTTCTCTCCTTCAGCCAGTTCACAGTCCACCTCACTACCCGATCATCCAGACCACACTTCCTCAATTTAGCTGTGAGGATGCTGTGGGAGACTGTGTCAAACACTTTGCTGAAGTCAAGGTAGACCACATCCACCGCTCTGCCATCATCCATCCACCGTGTTATTTCCTCATAAAAGGCTATGAGATTGGTCAAGCATGACTTCCCCTTGGTGAAGCCGTGTTGACTGCCCCTCATAACACTCTTATCCTTGATATGCCTTAAGGTGGCACCAAGGATAAGGTGTTCCATCACTTTCCCAGGGATGGAGGTGAGGCTGATTGGTCTATAGTTACCCGGGTCCTCCTTCTTGCCCTTTTTGAAGACGGGAGTGACATTTGCTTTCCTCCAGTCTTCAGGCACCTCTCCTGTTTCCTAAGACTTGGTAAAGATGGTGGAGAGTGTCTGATGGTCTGGAGATGTCGGGAATCGCGATGCCTGTGAGCTATCCCCTCTGATTTTCCTAATCTCAGTTGAACCTCGCAGCCACTGAAGCGTGCCGACTGCGGCTCTAGCTGGGCTAGTTCCGATCAGCTGACTGAATCATATATTATAGGCAATATTGACCTGGGAATGAATGTTAAAAGCTGGAGGCTTGTTTCAGAGCCCTTTAGATAAATGAGAGGGCTCTGGGGGATATTGATACCAGATTAGAACCAGGGAGTGTTGCAATAATGATTTCAACTATGTGTTGGTTTAGAATCAGGAAAATGTGGGAAGAAATGCATGGGTGCATGAGTGTCACAGGGCAAATTCTATTGTTAAATGTCTTTTAATGTAACTGCAGTGTTAACTATGTAAGTATTTCAAACATGTCTTGTGATGGTCTTTCCTAGACCTTCAAGCGGGAATTGCAGCTGCACTTCCAAAGAGCAGTTACATAGCTTTTCCATACTAAAAGTACATCAGGAGGCATATTTCCCCTTTGGATGTACTCCTGCTCCTGTTGCATGTATCCTGGAGCCCAGTCAAGCTCTTGGGGACTGACCTCAGGGCTTCCGGTGGTGGTGGCCACATCAACTGCTTCATCTGGGGCACGTGCTGAGGTCCCACTGAAAGCTGCTGGATGTCAAGAGGCTTCAGGGGCTGAATTGTGGCCTCTGCAATGGGAAGTTTGGCTGTGAGCTCTGCAGGCTCTGACTTTTCATTGCAGTATAGACAAAAGAGGATGGGGGAAGGGCAGCATCTCCTGTATGGACCAACATTTGCTTTTTATTGTTTTTATCAATGTATTAATTCTCCAATAATTATTAATATTTTGGTACTGTGTTCGTAAGTTTTGGCACAGTTAGATTGTTCAGAAGTTGAGGAGCTTGTTGACTGGGTCTCAAGCTGAATGCTAAAGAGCACTTGCACTGTGATTAACCACAGGAGACTGGTAGTGGAAGGAAAGCGGCTCTTGCATTGCTCTGCACAGACTCTGAGCGTGTGAAAGCTGGAAGCAGAGCTTGTGGGGAAAGCCCACAAGCTTTCTGTCTACCCTCCTGGGTGAATCTCACTGTTGTGCTCACCTGCATGTCGTTTGGGGCAATCTCAGGTGATACCATTTAGCTTTTTCAGTACTATCCAGAGTGACTCCTCAAAAGCCTTTTTCCCCTCTCAGAAAGATGTAAAAGATGGTTATTTAAGTACTGGATACATTTTGCTTTGAGTGAGGCTTTGTAGTTAACTTTGCTTTGAATCTTTGAATAAAGGGCTCTTTACATCTCATATTTTACTTTTATTTCAGATGATTGCAACTAATGATATTTCAGAAGAAAAAGATGAAGCAGACTATGGAAGGTATGAAATTTTATTGCTTTTTATCCTGGAACACTGTTCTAGTGACTCATGTGCCTTCCCTTTCTCTAACTCTGTTGTAGGGAAGGCTGTGTGGATGTGGCTTAGGAAGCTGGGTTCATCTCTCAGATTTTGTTGCACAGCATTTGTTGTTTGGTAACAAAGTGCTCTAAGTTCCTTTCCTTGTTTATTAATGTTTTATTCCTCCTACCCCTGTGGTTGCTTTCTTAAACCTATCTGGTACGGCTTCACAGCTGTCATACCTTCTAATGTCTGGATGTAGTGAGATGCAGTGAGAAACACCCGTTATCTGTCTCCTGATGCTTCTCTGCCAATGGAGGGCATCACGGCCGTGCCCCTGTCGCACCCTGCCCTGTGTGCTGGATCCCTTCCTGATCTGCACAGAGCTTTTTCTAAGCTTCTGATCTTTGTCTTGTCTCTTTGTTCTCCTGCAGACCTCCAAGACAAGCTGAGCAAAAGAGACAAAGAGGTATCATCACTGGTGTCCCAGACTGAAACTCTAAGGGCCCAAGTAAGTGGTAAGTTTCCCTCATCTGGTGCTGGTGGGAACTAGGTGTTTCCCTGCTTGTCCTCTGTACTGGTATTGAACAATGGTCTGGGTGCTGAGATGGACTGGTGTAAACCAGGACACTGCCTGTCTTAATGCAGATTGTTGGTAAGAGTTTGTTCAGCAGCTCCAGTCTCTTTTCAGGAGTTGAGCACAAACACTGCAGAGGTATTTGTGTCTTCTGAAGGGAGTGTTTGGGTTTATTGAATGTCAGAAACTAAAAGAGGCAGAGGTAAATGGAGCTGGGTGTGTTGTTTCCAAGATCTCCCCTTAATTAGGGCCAGAGCTAACCACATCTTATGAGTGGTAATTGGGAAAAGGCAAAAAGCAGGAATGCAAGTAAAGGACTGAGACGTTCCCCTCTGCTTCTCATAGCTTTGGAAAACAAATGCAAAACAGCAGAAAAGAAGGCTGATACGGTGTTAAAAGAAAAGAAACGTCTGGAAAGTGAACTGGAAGCCTTGACCAAGAAAACATATGATGCTTTGGGGCAACTGGTCCTCATTAGCCAGGAGCTACGCAAGAAGGAAAGGTCAGTGTCCAGGCCTGAAGGACAGAGCTGGAGACAGGGGGCCCCATGTGTGTGTTCATTCAAGGTGCTGTAATTTACCACCAAAAGAAACCTGGACATTGAATCATTGAAGTCCAGCCCCCAACTTTCCTGTTCTTTAGAGATGCTTATTGTGGGAATTTGGTTAAAATTAGGAGCTGTGAATTATCAAAGGGCTGCCCTTTCACTGCTTGCCAGGAGCTGCAAGACAGTTCAGTGCACATGTAGATGCTGAATGAAGTCATCTTCATGCCAACTAAGCTGGCTGCTGCCCTACTCTGAAATACAGTTCCTTGGGCAAGTCCCAGTCTCTAAAGCTGTCACAGTGGGGAGGACAGGAGATCTGAAGCCCCTGAAGTGATGGGATTTAAGTCACGTTTGCTCACTGGCCTTTCTTTGGATCTGTAGCAAAGGTGGGAGGGAGCAGAGCAGGACACCAGCTGTGTGTGAGCTCCGGAAATGTCCTCACCTTTCCATTCTGCTTCTTCCAGGAGCCTGAATGAGCTGAGAGCATTGTTGCTGGAGGCAAACCGGCACTTGCCTGGGCTGGAACGGGACCTGAGCCGGGAAGTGCACAAAGCTGAGTGGCGGTTGAAGGAGCAGAAACTCAAAGATGACATCAAGGGGCTGCGAGAGAAACTGGTTGTGCTGGTGAGGACACCAAAACCCCTCCTGGCCTTAGCTTGCAGGCTGGAGGGCTCTGTGCTGCTACTGGGGATAGTCTTCACCCTTACTCCAAGTCGTCATGCTTGCTTTTGTGCTACTGAGTGTCTGGTGGGACCTTAGTTTACAGCGCCTGTGAGATTGGACCTGGCTTAGCAGTGACTCATTAAGTAGTAAAAACGTCCTTGTGTCCTTCTCCAGTGTTTTTCTGTTACCATAGGTTTTAGATCCATGGCTAATTAAGGCTAACATTTGTGGGAGAAAGTGAAGGTCAGCTACCCCACACTGTTTTACACATTCTGTTCTAGGCATAAGCAATGCCCTCCAATTCCTGTGTACTTCAGTGTCCTCCAGTGGTTGAAATGTGAATAACATATTTGAGCTCTGCTGGGAACGAATTGGAAGTGCTGCTTGTACAGTTACCTTCAGAGTTGGGCTCTGACCCCATCTGCTGTTGAAATCAAAACACAGTTGTACTGAGTTACTGTGGATTTCTACTTTGCTTAGTTTCTGTTGTGATTTGGTTTTACCTGCGCTTATTTTCCCTTTGCTGTATAAGGACAAGGAGAAATCGGTGTCGATCAGCGGCGATACTCCCTAATCGACCCTTCATCAGAGTCAGAGGTGATCCGGCTGCAGCACCGGCTGGTCAGCACAGAGGATGTGCTGCGCAATGCGCTGGAGCAGGGCCACCAGATGGAGAAACTCATGGAAGCAATGAGGCTCTCTTCTGAGAAAACACAGGTAGAGCATCAGCAATCACTTCACAGGTTGCTCAGCCCTCAGATCTGTCCTGAGCAACCTCCTGGGATCTTGCCCTGTGCTGTGGAGAGTGATGCAGTCAGCTGGGACCCTTTCTTTCTGCTTGAAACAGTCTGGAAAGACTTAGTTCTGTCAGATGTAGCTTAGAATGAAGAAAAGCCTCACTACTTGGTAATTATGGGTCCTGTTGTGCTTTGCAAGAATGACTGCTAGATGTGGTGTTTTGAGGAAGGTTGCAGCATGAGTTAACTGTTCTTTGTCTACAACGTGCGGCTGCATATCCTTGAGGTACAGGCAATTTGTAACATGAAGGTTGAAGGTTTCTGCCATCCCTGTTCTCAGAAAGTTTTATTTCCTTGCAACTCATAAGCAGAAACTTTGGAGGTGACTCTGGGAAAGTTTTCCATTTCTCTTGCCAGCTCCTGAAGGCACTTCTGTATCTGATCTGGGTTTGCTGATGGACCATGAATGATCCCATTCCGGTTACTGCCTTCTCTTCTCAGCTTCCTCTGGTCTCCCTGTGTTTCTTCTGACAAAAGCAGAAGTGCTTCTGTCCTTTGTCTTGTGTCCTCCTTTGTGAAATTGAAAGCTGCAGATGGCTTGGCTTTCCACATTTGCCTCTTTCCATCTCGTGTCTAAGCCGTGGCTGATTCCTCATGCAAAGTGACCTGCCCCTTGTGCCAAGCTTTGTGCTTCGTGTCCTTTATTGCTCTTCTAGCTGTGTCTTCTCTTGTGTCTGCAACCAGGTCATGGTTTTCAGAGCCCAGATGCACTAGTGCTCCTCACCTGCTTGCTCATTTAAATTCTTAGCTAAAAAATGTCTTTCTCTTGGAGTAATGAGCTGCAATTCATATTCAAACAGACATGTTAGCATAGTACAAAACAAGCCACTAGTTACGGAGAATGGGCAGAGAGCTTGCATTCCCTGATGTAGGTGCAGATGTCTTGTAGTAGGTAATCGGTGGTGGGGGGGTGGTGGTGTCAAATCTAGTCCTCCCATGGCAGTGTCTTCTGCACAGTTTGCAGATACACCAAATGGCTATTCTGCATTACAGTAGTACTTGGAGAGAGCCGGGAGGAGGGTGCATGGGAGACATTGCAGCCCTGAGAGCTCTGCTGGCTCAGCTGAGCATCTGTGTGTTGCAGACAAGTTGCTATATCCCGCAGTGCAGCGGAGGCAGCCGTCTGCCAGCTCCAGACAGGACAGCTGTAGTCGTGATGACAAGTTAGTGGCAGTCCAAGATGTACTATAATCCTGTTACTACCTCTGGAGTGACTTTAGCTCCTGCTGTAATTGCCATGTGTCAAGTGAAAGTGCATCATGACAGCCTCATCTGCTGGAAGCTGTGGGAGGGGTGGGAAAAGTTTAGTCTCTGCTTTAATGCTCAGTCCTTTGAGGAAAAGGAAGTCTTCTGTTTCATATTCCTACCTCCAGAGGTGGTGCAGGTGGTAATTATTTCTTCCCCAGCTGTAGAAGATAACTAATCTTCCATAAAGTGAGTTGGAGTGGACCTTATGAGGTCAGCTAATCTATCCCTGGTATTGCTTTGATACTTTCATGCTTAAATCTTAGAGATGTGACAAGATAGTATTATGCCTTCAACTACAAGCCACGGTACTGGGAGACAGCTGGGGGATTACTGCAGGAGGCAAGGCCTCAAACTTCTATTGATATCAGGGTTTTAAAGTGCCTAGTTACAAAGAAGTCTGGATCAAAGCTTCCCTAGTTTCAGTATGATATCTGTTCATCCTTTCTCTTATGAAGGGGAGTTGTTAACTGGGGGCTTTCAGGTGGAGCCTGAGGACATTGCTAGTTTAAAGAGATCCTGGTGCATTAGTCAGTGAATTGATGATTCTTCCCCAGGAGCCACATGTCTTCTGTAACCCATTCTGTACTACCTTCTGACCTCCTGTCTCCTCTCTGTCAGCAGCAGCTGTTGCCCAGGGATCTGCCTTGGCACCACTCTCCCTTTGTCTGTAAAGCCTTCACTTTGCAGCACCTTGCAGCTCAAGAAGGAAATTTGTAATTACCACAAGCTGCTGCTGCTCTCCCTTAGTCAGCCACCACACTCTGCAGTCCTTGGTGTGCCTGGCTGGCCTTGGTGTTAGACAAAAGGAGGTGCAGGAGCTGGGGAAGCATAGTGGCACTGTCTTCATCTCATCCTCAAGTACTTGCTGCCTTGCTCTTTCCATGCCTGCAGCTGAAAAGTATTTGTCCTGTCATAGAGGAAAAGGATCTTTATCTTCTCCATGTCTTGGGAGACACAAGCTGTGCAGGAAGCGAGAAGGATTTGGCACTTGAGCCTTTTCTTGGAGAATTGGCAGTGATTGCTCTGGGAGTTGTTTTATTTCATTTCAAGTGAATTGCACCACTTTTTTCATTATTGTGACCATGTACCGAGACCAAATTTCAAACCTGACTCCTAGTACCTGATAGCTGCTTAGTGCAGAGATTGGGTGTGCTGCAGCCATGGTAGGCTCTGTTGCCTGAATCTCCTGTGGAGCGCGTGCAGACCCCAGGGCTGAGTCACTACAGCAGCGCTGTTGACATCCATCTGGGTAGGATTCACTGCCTGGTAAACATTGGCAGTTCAGGCTTTCAAAGCAGAGCTCAGTTTGAATCTCTGCCTACTTTTCCTGCCCAAACAAAACCTCTGTTCCATAGGATTGCTTATTGCACCTTTGAGGTTACAATAAGGAAAGAACCTGTGTAGCTGGGCCTCCTCTGATGATGGCTTTTAAACCTTGTCATCTTGTCTCCCTATAATATCTGGTTTTGCTGCCATCAGCAATTCACCAGTAACTGTGTATCTGGTTTCAAAGACCCAAACAACTGACATTTGCCATGCTGTGACTTCAGGCTGCAGCTTTCTTCTCTTGTTTCTGCTGGTTGTACTGTCATTTTTGAAGCTGAAGGGCTCCATATTATCCCTCCTAAAGAAACATTATAAATGTTTAAAAGTTCTTGTGCATTCTAAAGATAGACCAGCCTGTCCTGGCTGCCAGACTCGTCCCCAGAGATGGGAAGCTGGGAATGGCAAATGTCCTTTTCAGTGCTGGGATGTTCACTGTGCTGTGTTTTGCAGCTAACGCTGCCCTTTGCTGAGGGTTTGTTTATTGAGATTTGCGAGTCAGAAGTGAAGAGTGGGTCTGTGTCCAGGAGGACATTGGGGGATGTTTTGTAGCTCAAAAGGATGGAATCCAGCATGTGGGGACTGGGCCAGGGTGCAGAGGGCAGGAAGCTTCTTGCCAAATGTGGGGTGGAATTTTTGGCTTCTCTTTTCCTTATGTGGAGTGGGCTGCTAAGGAAGGAGATAGCAGTCTTGCCAGGTTTCAGAGCTTGTAGACAAAACCACTAGGCTCTGTGTCCTTCAGCAAGTATTGTCCATTCTCCATTGCAGACTGGAAATTCTGGGTCTGCTAACGGGATTCACCAGCAGGATAAAGCCCACAAACAAGAGGTAAGTGATCAGCACAATGTGACTGCTTCATGTGATTTCTTGCCTGCTGTGCTGGGGACAGCTCTTAGATGGAGGCTGTTCTGCCAGCAGAGTTTGGCTGTGTCGTTCCCATATCAAAAACCAGTTCTCAGGCATATGATGGGAACATCACCATGCTATAAAAAAACACTTGAGGCCATCAGGAACGTGCTGGTGAGATGCTCACTGAGGTGCAGTGGGTGCTTGCTCTGGGAGAAGCAATGACAAGGGAGTTTCTCCTCAGTCTCCTGGGTTAGTGCCTGTACGGCTCTTCTGGCAGCCCCTGCTAGAAGCTGCCTGGTCTTAGATCTCTGCCATCTGCTTTACATGGGTGGCATTTGTGGGATGTGCTGTTATGTTCTGCCAGAGTTTTCATGACGTAGGACAAGACCTGTAGCCTCAGACTTCATCTCCACATAGGTAGGAGAAGAGGTGTGAGTTACTGAGCAGAGGCATGGCAGGCCTGGTGGCATTCCACTCCATGCCTCAGCTTCCTCTTCTGTAGAAATGCCTCTGTGCTTGCCCTCATTCTGCCTAACAAGGTCTCTTTTCTTCCAGGAGAAGCTCTGATAGAGAAGAGGTGAAGAGGATTATTTCAGGCCAATATCAGCTCCTGTGCACTGTCAGGAAAAATGGTACCACATTTGGCTTTAGCATGTCCAAAAGACCAGACACAGTATTTTCACTTTAAAGAAGGACAATATTTATAATACACTAACTGATGTAGTCAGGACAATCCTGCAGTCTGGTTTTCCAAGACAGCCATTGTTCCAGGGGGGAGCAGAAAGGTCTCTCTACGTTTGGTTTCTTACTTGTATTGGTTTTGACTATGGAATTTGTATTGCTGTTGTCCCACCAGCTGACCTGGTCTGGATGATGGCTGCCCCAAATGGTGGCTGAAGTGTCAGCAAGTCCCAGTATCCCACAGGAACTCCAAAAGGATTTGCTTGTGGTGTTTGATGCTTCTCACCTGGTCTGTCCCTTCCCTTCCACACATGCTGCTGTCTTGAAGACCTGCACAAGCAAGTGGAACCTGCTGGGCTGACTGTTCATGCTGGCATGTGTAGGCTGAGCAAGATGGGGTGTGTGGATGTGTTTCCCTCCACCTTGTAGAAGACATTGGTGTTCTGGAGGCTGCACTTAGTGCTTGTATCCTAGCATGTCCTGGGAAATAATCTGATTTCAGGGGAATATTTGTTTTGTTTCTCACCCAGTGCTGTTTGGGGACAGGCAACCTGAGCTGTGGTTGGCCTTTCTTCCTGCAGAGATCTCTGAGCAGGCCTGCCCATGCCCTGCCCCACAACAAGGCTGACCAGCCTGATCCCCATCACTTGTATGTGTTTTATTGGGCCTTTTTAGAGCACAGGACTCCACAGCTGCACCTCATCACTGGCCTGAGAGCTCCGTGCTGGCTGCAGTCAGTGTGGGACAGATGCCCTGTGGAGATGGTTCCCTCCTTGCCTGTTTAATTTAACAGCTGATCAGGGATCGCCTGGCCTTTCTCTGGAGCTCTCCTTGACTCTGCAGTATGATGCCCATCCCCTTCTGCCAGGAATACAAAATGCTGAGGTGCTGCTCTGAGCATTCATGCAGCAGCAGCTGTCTGTATTGGATGGGTACAGCATTCCTCTGTGTATGACCTGAGTATGAGCATTTGGAGCAGAAGGAATACAAGACTAGAGCTCACACAGCTCTTGTCTGTACATAGCCGTGCAGGCCCAGGCAAGGATCTTGTTCCTTCTTCTGAAGGCTTTACCCTTCTCTAACTTTGACCACAGCTCCCAAGGGACACTAGGGTGGAGGAAAGGGACAATATGCTTTTAAAGGTGTGAGACTCCAGCAGTACCACAGGGAAGAATCACAGCAATATTTCACCAGGCTTTCTCTAGTTAGTGCCTGACTCCTCCAGTCTTCAGAAGCTCTTTTGTTGTGATGGGTTATCTGTGAAACAGGACAAGACAGAAGAGAGCACTGAGAGAGATCTGAGCCTGACCCCAGGCAAATGAACATCACATCATGTCAGCTTCATAGCTTTTGCCTTCATTTCCTGTAAGGTTGTGCTACTTTGTCTTCATGGGTTGCCAGACTCCTGCTTCCTTGAAGGATGAGCAGCCAGAAGCAACCTTGGAAAGACATGGGCTTCATGGCTGCATTTCTACCATGAGGAGGATGTTGCTGAATCTGGGCTATGACACAACACTGAACCCTGCTCACTTGATGCAGGATTGGTGATCTCCCTCCGTTCAGAGGGAGGATGAGAGAGGAAGGTGAGTGTAAAGCAGGACAGAAAGCACAGCTTAAATCTTGTGCATGGCAGGGGGAGGCAGAACTGCTTCATCAGTTTTACTAATCAGGAAGATTGCCTAGCTCTGAGAATTTCCAAAGGGATCACAGGGGTTATCTCCAAAATCTTCCTGGTCCATGTACTCATCTCTTAAGCAATTCAGGAAAATTGCAGAGGGAGTGTTTGTTGTTGCAGCCTGTGACAGTGAATACCTCTCTGGGAGCTGCTGGCTGTAAGAACTGTGGGCTGGTGTTTCCCAAAGCACTGCTTTGGTTGGTCTCTGGTGTCTGCAGCTCTCTCTGGATTGAGTGGAGCTAAAGGAATGCTGCCCATCTCTGAGCCCAGGGCTTCCCAGGCACCTGCCGGTGGGAGAGCCCATTCTGATTGAGAGCTTACTTTCCCTGGTAGGTCTTTTAGTGATTTGTGACCAGTTGCCCTCATCTATAAAGAGGAGATGCCTGCATTTTCCACCTCCCTCAATGAACCGTTGGCTCTGCACAGGGCAGGATCCCCTGGGAAGACTTATGGGGGCCATCTATTTAGTTCTGTTAATGAGATCTGAAGTTGTCAGGGTAACTTTCAAGCTGGAGGAGTCTCTGGCTCCTGTCTCCTCCCAGGGACCATCTCCTGCGAGTGGCTCAGACCTGTGGGTCTTCCCAGTCAGTTCAGGTGACAATATAAACCTGCAGCAGATGGGTCAGGGTTGGTTTAAAGATAGTGCTGATGGCCTTCTCTGGCTGTAAGTAGCTGTGGGGGTCCCTAAGGCTCAGCCAGGAGCCAAGTACTTGCTTACCGCAGAGGCTGTGTGTGGGCCTTGTGTTGCAGGGCCATACCGAAATGGGCAGTGGGGCAAAGCCAGGGCCTCTGTATTCCACCCTGCTTTGGGGAGCTGCTCCCCAAACAGGACTGACTGCAGCATCAGCAGGACATGCTATCATGCATCATCTGGGTTTTAGCTCAACCCTGTATAAAGCAGCCAGGTTTGAACATCTCCCATGTTCTCCCTCTCCAGAATTGGCACAGGCTTCCCAAGGGCACCTGCCTCTGGCTGCCCTTCTGAGCTCGTAAGAGACCAAACTAGGGACAAACTTGGGAAGGACAAGGAGGAGATTCCCCAATCCCTCTATTTATTTGTAAGTTTAAGTGCTATTTTTGCCTATGTGGTGGTGTATAAAGTACTTCACAGTATTTGATCTTACTGGCTTGGTTCTTCAGGGGAGATTTGCAAGGGTGTTGGAGCACTGATGCACCCATCTCCTGTTGCTGGTCAGGGGATGGTTCCTGTTTGTGCCTTCACTTCCCTTTGGCTTCAGCCTTGCTTTATCTTGACCCCCAGGAGCTGGTACAGGGGCCTGGGGGGGTGGTTGTGTTCTCCCCAGCCCCTCTCCCAGCCTGTGCATGCTGTGCTGGTGCTGCATCTGGAGCTGAGTCCTGACATCATGCCCCAGAGCACCAGCACAGGGTGGGGAGGAGGAGGCAGCGCATCTTTGGAGTCATCAGCACCAAGGGAAGGGCTGGCACCCGCTGGGACACCAGCCGTCCCACAGCTGCGGTACCCAACAGTTAGTGATGCTTTCCTGCTGAAAGCTGAGACATCATCCAGTGAACAAAGTCTTTGCCATGGAGGATGCTCCATCTTTAGTGGTTCCTTTTCTAACCCTCTAGACCAAGGGGAAAAGAATCAGTCTTGCCTGATGATTTCAGCTTTATCCCTACTACAGCAGCCAGTGAACTGGAGAAAGGGGCAGCCCTGGGCCAGTGCTGAACGATGGGTGCAAAGTTACCAGCCAAGGCTCTGCAGCTCTTGCCTGCTCCCAGCCACAAACCCTTCCTCTGGCTTGCACTAGAGATGCATGAGGGTTTCATTCAAACAAAATGATTCAAATAACACTGTAAAAGTCTTAACAAAAATTCCAGTACTCCGTTGTTCGGCAGCTTTAGCAGCTCAGCACTATCTTGTAGGGAGTTATTAATACACTAAGATCCTATAGGCCTCGTGTAAGTTACCATAATAAAGACGATACTAGATGTATAAATGGATGATAACCTTTTACCCGTACACTATGTATTACAGTTTTGTAGTTTAGTCATTTTTTGGCTATCAGATTTTGTTAGTATGATATAAAACCAAAAGACAAAAAAAAAAGGTTTGACTGCTAATGTCTATTTTGTTATTTGATTCACTTTATTTCTTCCTCTGTACAAATCTCAGTCTGTAACTACCCCACATGTGTATTCATGTACCACCCCCTGTCCTGGCTTGCTGGTGTGGTAAGCTCCTTACTAACCAATAAACTCTGTGGCTGCAGTCAGGCACCCTGGGGCTGCTGGGGTGTGTTCAGGGTGTTGTGCAGTGCCCAAGCCATGCTGAGAGGGAAGTGGATGGGATAAGCAGTGAGCTGGAGCCATCAGCACTGGGGTTCAGCTGCCATCTGGGTTTGTAAACAGCCAAGCATCAGCTCTTTCCCGGGGCTGCTGTTGGCTATCCCCTGAGCCATGGAGTACAGTGCTGTTTATTCATCTGTGACTATTTCTCCTCTGTTAATCTCCCCTGTCCCTCTCTGACACATTCACAGCACCCAATGCAAGGGGTGCTGTGAAGTGCTGCCCTAGACCCACCTCCCTGTATCTTAAGAGAGGCACATACTCATTTGAGTGGTGCCATCTTGATTCTGCAAGGCCAGAGGTGGTGACTGGGTCATCCTCATCCCTTCCAGCTCACTCACCTCAGACCTTTAGAGCCCAGGGAATGTGTGATTGCTGTGGAGTGGTCCCAGGGCAAGCTGTGGTTGCTGCCAGCACCCTGTGCAGCCCAGCTCCTGCCTCTTTTCCCTATATTCTCACCATGTGCCTGCAGGTGAGCATCATGGACTTCTGCTGTCCCCCATGGGCTGGACCAAGGTCATTTACTCCAGGGCTTTTTCATGGCACAGCATCTCTTACTGGAATTTCTTGGAGTGCCCAAGGGCTGTGCTGCAGCTCAGCAGCCCCACACACAGCAAGAAAGCATCCGTACTTCCTCCTGCCATGCTTTCCTGCACCTGTGGGCTGTGTGTATATCCTTTGCTGATAGATGATGGGTTCACAGCTGTCTTAAGATACCCGGAAAAAAAGGGGGATTTTATTTTTTTTAACTTGCTTCCTGGCTGCTTCTTTTCCTGAACTTAAGCTTCTCCCCTACCAGGATTACCTGGAAGTTTTAAACCCTTTCCAAAGAACTGGGGCAGTTTGCAGATGGTGAGTTGATTCCAGCATGGGGCCCCAGGTGCTGGACAATAACACCATGGAAGCTGGGCATGCAGCTGTATTTCAGAGCTGTAGTGTGGTCTGTACAGCATGGTCTGTGATACCCTGCTCTTGTTTTCTCAAGGTGTGTAGGAGTTGCTGTGAACCCCAGGTCTCTCAAAGCGTTCTGTTTGTCCACCAGCTCCCTGTGCGCTGCAGGGGCTCGCAGCTCCTGACATAGCTGGGTAAGAACAGTGGGACCCTGGGTCACAGCACTGCCGATTCCTAGAGCTGCTGCCAGTGCTTCACTGTCCTCCGGCGGCTGGAAGGAGAATAACAGCATCACAGTGTCACAGTATCACAGTATGTTAGAGATTGGAAGGGGCCTCAAAAGATCATCTAGTCCAATCCCCCTGCCGGAGCAGGAACACCTAGATAAGGTTACACAGGAACGTGTCCAGGCGGGTTTTGAATGTCTCCAGAGAAGGAGACTCCACAACCTCCCTGGGCAGCCTGTTCCAGTGTTCCGTCACCCTCACTGAGAAGTTTCTTCTCAAGTTTAAGTGGAACCTCTTGTGTTCCAGTTTGTACCCATTGCCCCTTGTCCTATCATTGTTTGCCACTGAGAAGAGCCTGGCTCCATCCTCGTGACACTCCCCCTTTATATATTTATATGCACTAATAAGGTCACCCCTCAATCTCCTCCAAACTATAGAGACCCAGCTCCCTCAGTCTTTCCTCATAAGGGAGATGCTCCACTCCCTTAATCATTTTAGTTGCCCTGCGCTGGACTCTCTCCAGCAGGTCCCTGTCCTTCTTAAACTGAGGGGCCCAGAACTGGACACAGTATTCCAGATGAGGTCTCACCAGGGCTGAGTAGAGGGGAAGGAGGACCTCTCTCGACCTACTAACCACCCCCCTTCTAATAGACCCCAGGATGCCATTGGCCTCTTGGCCACAAGGGCACAGTGTCGGCTCATGGTCACCCTGTCGTCCACCAGGACGACTGGTTTGAACTTTGCTTGGGAGAAATCTCTGGACACAGGAACATCCATCCGGGCTCAGCCCAGCATCCAAGCTGATGCACTCAGTATTTGCCTTGCTCTTCCCTTCCCAAGGCTGGTGCTTGCTCATGACAGGTCTGAAGATGCTGTGGCTGGGCAGGGGTGGGATCCTGGCCCAGGGCCATGGCTCCTGTGTGTGATCCCACTGTCATGGATCAGACCCGGTTTGATGCACTGGTTCAGGGAGGTTTGTCACGCTCTGCTCCATTGGTGCAAGGCACCAGTAAGGGAAGGATTGCTCCAGCACAGCTCTTGGGCTGTCCCCACGCTGACAGCAGGGTCACCAAACAAGTCCCCTTTTGTGGCCAAAAGTCCTGGAGGGAGATGTCCCCCAAACCTGCCTGTTTATGGGGGCAGGAGCCTTTATCCATATGGTGAATGTTCCATTGAACCCTTCCCAGGGTTCTGGGCAGGAGCTGCTTACTCAGGGCAGGAAGCAAAGGCCATGAGCATTGTGTCCCTGCTCAGGGCAGATGACTCCAGCTCCATCTTTTCTGTAGCTCCACACTATCATTCATTAAGGTGCATATTTACAATCAAGTGCCCAAGTCCTGGTATCTCACAGAGATAACACTGTAGCACATGCCTTTGTTTGCAGACATTGCTGTTAATTGTACAGCGAGGATTAATAAAACATGAAGTTGAAAGATGCCTGAATCACAGGGGGGGAGCTGGTAATCTCTGCCAACAATAATATTTGCACTTTATTTTCATCCCAGCATCCAGCCAAGAGCGGAGCCTGGGCCGCAGAGCAGGACC